AATGATAGACATCTCACCCAGAGAGAAACACCCAACTCTACCTCCCCCCGCTGATTGGGTGGCGATCGAATGTCAGCTCTCCTTAGTTCTTCCCCCCAGTGTTCCAGTGCGCCAGCTGGAAAGGGGAGAGTGTGGCGGGCCCACCCAAGGTGCCAGTCTTGGGCGGTGTCCAAGTTCCCCCCAGCTCGATGACTTCTGCAAATGAATTACGGGATGGTCCGTCAGCCAGATTGCTTTTGGACTCAACATGGTCGATATAAACGTGAAGTTTCAGCTGTGCAGCGGTCACCCAAAACGATCCTACGAGATGGGCACTGTCGGGTTGTGGGGAGTAACCTTTCACCAAATTGGCTGCTGCGCTGTCATTATCCACAAAGAGAAGTATGGATCGTTCGCGAATGTAGGAATCCCACAAGCTGAGCGCCCAAAGTGGGGCAACCAACTCAAGTTGTCCCATATAGGACTTTCTTGGTCGCCATGCCTCCACCATGCTCTGGGGAACTTCCTGCGCTGAATAGAGCAGGCTGTGGGTCTCTGGAATGAAGAGAACTGCTCCAACCAGGCGCTGGGGTTGACGGTCTGGGACGTCTGAAGCATCAGTGTACAGAACAAGAGGGGGCTGGTCCACAAGGAAAAGCTCCCGTGAAGGACAGTGGTCGAGGAAGGCGAGCATCATGTGGAGGGACCATTTGAGATCGGGGGTTAAGCCTTGATACCGGTGCTGCGAGTACTGTCGCATTCGCAGAGGACCGGTGCAGCACCTCCCAACTTTCCCAAACAAGGTGGAGCATAGGAAGCCGAACTTGCCAACTACACTGGCTGCGGTGGCTGCGGAAAGATGCTCCTCTTTGAGAACTTGTTGAATAGTATTACGGAGGTTGGTAACTCTGGAGGGTTTTGCTTCCAGGAAGATTCGACGTTCTGCTGAGAGGCTCTGGGTAGAAAACATGATACCCAGGATGGCGCAGACCTCAGATGGGGGTTGCGACTTGTCTACGTCGAGTCGGAAGCCGAGCTCTGTGAAGAGTGCCTTGATGCAAAACAGAGCCGAGTCAACTGTTGACGTGAGCTCTAGGCAAAAGAAGTCGTCAAAGAAATGATCTGAGAAGGTGTGAAACAAACGAACTGAACAGCGAGAGACCCACTCTGCAACTCTGCAGAAGTTTGGGACTGAGCGCCCAGCGCCAAATGGCTGTCCGAACATCTCGTGTAGTGAAACCTCATCCCTCACTGGGTTGTAAGCTGCTGTGATCGCAAAGCGGACGTCGGCCGGGTGTAAGGCTATCTGTCTGTATGCTGCCTTCATGTCTTCCGTGGCCAGTTTGATGGACGAGGAGTGCTCTGCAAGTGCCCGGAGCATGACACCGATGTAGTCGACCATGGTCATGGGTACCTTCTGCAACCGATGGGCCATTTGGTTCACACCGGATGCGCTGTGGTCATCTATGCGACGATACTTGGTACCCTGTGCCAAGCCGAAACTCGGCGCAACCTGGACTTCCGTGCCATACTTGGCATGCACTTGGTCCAGGGTGAGGGCTGGGCCCATTGTCCCGGCCTCGACTTCCCGTTGGGTCTTCTCCCAGATGGCTTGCGCCATCTCTGGGGGGCCTTCTGGGCCATGAACCGGACTCTCTCGATCATGGCCAATGAGCGCTCTTGACACCCGTTAAGGAAGGTATCACGCGACATAGTTGGCCGAACTTCGAAAGGCTCAAAGAAGGGTGAGGTGTGCGCCTTGCCTGTAATACGCATCCCTTCTAGACACAGCGTAGGGACTTCTGTGTCTTCTATGCGCAGGAGAGTTTGCAGGTGCTCCATGAGGCAGGTGTTGGGTTTGATACCCAGCTTCTGGGCCGTCCAGGCTGCCGAGGCATTAACTCTCGACTGCTCGGCCTGGAACTCTGCTTTGAGCTTCCTGACCCTGGCGAGCTGCTCCAACCTGAAGCGAACCAGGGTTGAAGGATCCTTACTCAGAGCACGTAAGCACTCATGGTGATCCTGCTTGAGAGTGTTCATCGAGGAAAAGGGATGTTTCAATTGCTTTGCAAGCTGGAGATGAGCTCTGGCGTCATCTAGCCCGTTGGGGATGAGTTGCAACCTCTTCCCATAACTGGGCTGTTTGGCAGCTTCAACTGCCTGTGCGCGTGACTCCGTCTGCTCCACTGGAGCGTATAACGGGGGTTCTCTCAGTTGTCCACTATGCGGGATTGCCTTGAGACCCATTGAGGGTCCAGCGGGAGAAAGCGATGCTTCTGGCGGTCGGTTTGGAACTGATGTGTCAAACAGCTCTGACTCCTCGGGTCCTGGAGGCCTCACTGTGTTGGGTGGCACTGGGGGGTATACTCCCCAGGCTCTAGCCATGGAACAGGACAGTGGTGCATTTGGTCCAGAGAAGACCTCTACGAAGGATTGAATGTTACATTGTACACTACTTGACACTGCTTGAGCGTACTCTTCACAAAACCCCTCGGGGTACTCCCTCTCCAGGCCTGTTGCGAAGGATGTGACTCTCCCTTTCTGGATTCTGGGTTTCCAAGAAAGGTGGGGTCTACCAGTACGTGTGCAAAGCCTGCTACTCTTACAAACCAAGTTTAATGCGCTAGCCAAATTTGGGATGTTGTGGATGAGGACCTGTGCTTTCCTCCTCTCACTTCCCCGAAACATGCATGCATGGTATTCCGTGACCCACACCCCTGCCTCCGACTCCAACTCCCTCCAGGATGCGAGATCTCTGGCGATGGAGTTCTTCGGGTGTTCCAGGGTGAAGAACTTTCCGGATCTCTTGGCCTTCAGGCAATTCAAAGCGGCCATGTCGGCCATCCGGGTATCCAAATCGAACTTGCGGCGTTTGGAGGCGGGAAGTTTAAATACTACCTCCGGAATACCATTCGGAAAAACTGAACTCCTAAGAGGGATAGGGGGGTTGGTGACTCCCGGAATTGGTCGTTCACGAGCTCGGGAAAAGGTGCAACAGTTCGGGGCCCAATGCTGTAGGTCAGATGTACCCAGGTCCCTTTGCAACTGTTCCGTCTGTTTAAAGACGTCCCTGCCCCTCAACAAATCCCATGGTTCGGCGACCTTTTTCTCCTCTCTCGGAGGATCTGTTGCTTTCAAAAATTCTATGCCTCCCGGAGCACGGGTCGCGCGCACTCCCGAGAGGAGCTGTCCCTATTTCTTGCCGTCCTTCCCTCCCTTCTCCTTTTTGTGCTCTTCATCCTGCTTGCGCTTCTCACGAGTCCACTGCTTTTGCTCCTTCCGGAACCCCGGTGGGATCTGGCAGCGTGGCTCATGGCGCTTGCGACAGACGATGCACATGCGGAGCTTCGGAGGCTCTCCGGACCTGTCCTTGGCGGCCCGCTCCGGGGTGCGCGACCTCTTCGTGCCCTTCTTGTCTTCCCCAGTGCTCTTGCTAGTCGACGGCCTCTCCTTTCCTTGGTCTGGGTGGCCCTCTGGCTGTTGACTGAGGAGCTTCCAAAGGGGCTCTGTCGTGAACTCCCGGGTGTAATGGCTAAGGCCGGCCTCTACCGACCCTTTGCCTTTGGCCACCCACTTCAGGATTTCACTGAAGATCTCCCTGTCTGCACGACGTGCCTCATTCATGGTGGGATTTCGCATGCCCTCCGCGGTGACACCTCGCAGGCAGGCCACGATTCGCTCACCATATGCTTTCATCACATCGTACTTGCAGACATCGAGGATATGGAATGCCCTTGCTCTCAATTCGAAGAGGTCCTGCAGGGCCACGAGGTTGTCGACCACGACCGTCTCCGGGAACTCGACGTCCGTGTCGGTCATCTTCAGGCTCTTTCCATCAACCACCAGCTCCTTCTTGTCCTTCGGCAGCTTGCCTGCACGTCTCAATCGAGACTCCACTTCCATCGAAACATACGACTCCCACGCCAAGTGCTGGAAGGTCCCGCTCGGCATGAAGGTCATCTGCACCTTGGTGAGCGTGTGGAGCGAAGGCCTCTCTCTGTCTGACGTGGCCTCCGGCATGCCTGTTTCCACTGCCTTGTCCTCAAGCTCCTGGGCGTGGGCTAGGGTGATCTTGGTCTTCCCTTCACCCTCTTCCCCGGCTAACCTCTCCAGTTGGCGCTTTGCCACCTGGGTGGAAAGCCCCCAGAGTTTGCGGAGGCAGCCTGTGTCCGGCTCGCACTTGTAGTCGTCCCAGGAGAGGATCGTCGGCTTGTCGTAGACCACGATCTCACCGTTCACGTCACGGTAAGCCCCCCTCTTCCGTAGCACCTTCTTGAGGTAGTCCTCAAGATCAGCACTGGCAGGGAGGCGGTAAGCCATGGCCTCGAAGGTACTGATCTTGTCTGCGGCCATGACCAGAAAGTCACTCTCATGGACTTCGAAGCTGACCGCAGCCCTTCCGAAGGCCAGAGTCGACTTGGAATCCGCCATTGCGACGGCGACTCCCGAATCCGGGGGGTGTGGGTGTTCGATCCACTCATTGGGGCATCGGCACATACGTCTACAATAGAGGTGCGCACGTCACGTCCATACGAAAGGACATGGATCCCCAATGGAAGCTCCAGCATTGCATGACACTGTGCGAACTGGGTTGCATGGCTACATGGTTTAAACAATCACTCTGGCGCCCGAATTTTGACAACTCATATCAACTGGCTTAAATGTCGTGATCTAGCACCTCTTCGCTGTGCAGGGTGCACCTGTGCCTACTGTCTGAATCAAAACCTGACTCACTCGGGTTCAGATGGCCTTCTACCTGATCGCCCCTGCACCGTCGCCCACAGCGCAAGATGATGCGGCCGTTCTTCTTTAGCACGAAGTCGCACAGCAAGGGGCATGAGGAGGACTCCACATTCCTCCCGAAGCACTTGTTGGAGAGCTTGTAGTTCGCTCCCCAGCTGTGATCCAGCTGGAGTTCCGCAAACCTGGAACCCTGGCTTCCGCACCTCGGCAAGCCCTCGTCTCGGTGGGAGGGCTTATGGATCCTCCCCGCCCCGGCAGCCAGCTGCACAAAGGTGTGGTGCATCTCCAGATCGGTGGTCGCGGGATCCTCTTCGCTGTCGTCCGAATCCGGTCCCATCTCAACCCCATTGGGAGTGGTCTCGACCTGCTCGATGGGGTAGTCCTCGTGACACTTCGCGGAAAGCTCCTTCTCTTTCTCTAGGGTCAGCTCCAGCTCGCCCATGTCTTCGGCTCCGGCGCCGCGAAGAGCTGGTGGGAGGTTTATGACAGGGACCGCGCAGTCACCGCTGATCCTTCGCTCTCCCTGTCCATCCTCCGTGCAAACTATGGCGCGTCTCATGGCGTCCGCCCCGCGTTCCGCCCCGCTGGACTTCGGCAACCTGTTCTCCTCAGCGAGGGTTTCAACAGTGGCCCAATCGGGTTGTCGCATACTGTCCAACTCCCGGCCCTCCAGGGTTTGAATCGTCGCCCCGCGGCGGATTTGATCCAGCACCTCGATCTGCGCCTTCAGGACCAGTATCTGAGATTCGCGGAGGTACAGGTCTGGCATGAGCTCGGCTGGATCCTTCCAGGCTCCTTGAAACCTCACCGTTCTGGTGGTGACCTTAAAGTGGGTCATGTATGTGGGCATGGTTGTTTTGCAACTATGCCACCTCAGGTGCAGGGCCTGTTCCCTGGGCATGATTTCCTGATTCCCGGCGTCGATGTCTGCCAGGAGTGCATGTTTCACTGTCAGGGTATCCTCGGAGATGAGGGGGGGGGTACATCTCCCACCCTTCAGTCTTCCCCGCAGCTCTCCCGACAAAGGAGTGTGTGCGCCAGTCGTGGCCATGCATCACCAAAAGGAGCTCCACCCACCTGATCAACCACTTGTCGTTGTCCGGGTGCACTCTCAGGAGGCTCGCGGCCCATGTCCTGGGCCCAGATTTGGTGTAGGCCGCCTTCGCCCTGAGTCCCAACACTCCCGTACCGCCAACCATCCGACACCATTCCACGTCACGCATCGCTGTTCCTGCCAAATCTGAGTGGCGAATGCTAGACTGGGTGCAAAGACGGAGTTTGCCGCAAGCAATGCGGGTCTGAAGATCCCTGTTCTCGTCCAGCACCACCTTCTCCAGCCAGTCTAGGAAGCGGATCTCGAAGAATGGGGCTGGACGGCGTTCCGGGGACTTGCTCACGTAGTCCGTGCAAAGCCTTCTGACTCGGGGGTGAGCACAACCGGGTGAGTGGTACCCGAAGAGACCTCCGAAGTATTCCACAGCATACAGGAAGCTCCTCGGGGTGTAGAAACCTACTTCCTCCTCGATCAGGCTGATGATGAAAGCCTGAATGGCCTCAAGTCCCATGATCTTGGGGCCAGTGACTGAGGGGGCTCCATACTTGATCTCATAGGCTTGAAGGTACCTTCCCAGGAGTCGGGCGTACCTGAGAGCTGTGCCTGCTGATTTTGGGTCGGTATACCTGTGGAAGAGGGCATAATCAATGACTCCCTCCTTGGAGCTGACGGTCTCGACCAAGTCCATCTCCACCTCGTGGATCACAAGCTCCTCGAAGAGGTGAGTCGCCAGCTTCCGGAACTCTTCCAGCTTGGCTTCCTCGAGGGGGCGGCTACGACGAGGAAGCCCCAAGGGTACATAGGGTGCCACGCGAGAGGGTGCGGCCTCGGACACTGATGGTCGATCTGCCTTCTTTGAGAACTCACCAAAGATCCCGACCTCTTCCAGTCCTCTGGTGATCCTGCCGGGATCCGCCTCCGGCTCTACCACCGATGGCCCCGGTTCCTCCTCACACTCCTCCTTCACCTCTGGCTTAGGAGGGGGAGGGGCGTGAGAGCTTGCCTTCTTGGTGAAACCAAGCGGCGACTGTCCAGATCCTAATACCCAGGTTGGCGTATCCCGGGATGAACGATCAGAGGACAGATGTGGAGTGGAAGCTGCTGAGGATGAACCCTCTGAGCCAGCAGGCGCCTTTACTGGCTTCTCCGCTTTCTTTTCAATTGTCCACTTTGGAGGGGCTGACCGAAGGCACTCCGGTGGTCTCTCCTCCGAGCGTGACTTAGCCGATGGCCTTGCTGCCGTTTCCTCTTCTCCCTGGATCTCCAGGGGCTGGTCTCCCTCAGATCCACTCCGGATGGCTTCCAGGATCTCACTTGAGGGGATGCCGTTCTCGATCATCCTAGCAATCTCTTCCCGGGCGGACCAAGCTCCGGCAGCGAAGAGCCCGCTGGTCTTACCCAGCTTGGTCCTGTCCCTTCTGGGCGAAACTGCATCCAGTCGTTTGGAGCTGGGTCCTCTTCCTCGGCTGCCGCTGCGACCTCGGCCTCGAGAAAGGTCGAAAACTGTTGCCGGGCGTCCAGCAGGGGACCTATCTTGTGCCCATGGAGGAACAGCCATCTCCCCCCGCTGTTTAAAAGCAGGGAGGCTGTTCGGGCACAACTTGACCCAAAATGGCCACGTTGTTCATTCCGCTGGTCAGACATTTACTTTAGTACCTGTGGCACAATCTGTATATATTTCCTGCTCTTCGCATGGATCTTTTTTGCCTCTTGCAACAAGGGAGGTCAACCAAGAATCAGGCCTTTTTGAGGGTTTGTCCGCCGCGCAACGAATACTTAATTTGGGCCTTCAGTTCTTGTTTTCAGTCTTTTGAAAGATGAGAGTTTGGTGGCCAGGCCCTATTGAATTGGGCCTACGCACCACACATATGCAACATTGTTTCGTTCGAATGCTTTTGCTTCCCCTTTCTTCGATCTCAGCTTTGCACTTGAGTGGAATCAGCTCCAGAAACCATGACAGTGCCCGCCAGCCCACCGAAGTCATATGGATTTGAACATGAGAGCACACTGGAGCAGTAGCACACCTCACAGAAATGATGAACATGTTCAATACTTTTCAACCAAAAACGTTGCATTGTCACTATAAATAAGCACTGCAAATAACAAAAGGAAGACAACACATGGCCTTGTAATCACCACTGGCCGTGATACCTCCAAGTTCATACCTGTCACGAAGAGTTCAACGGAACTTGAAGAGTTCAACGGGCACGTGTTGTGGCCTTGTTTGTGTGCTGTTTTGCTCTGGAATCGGAGCAACCACATTTGTCTGTAGCGATTGTCCGGCATCAATAAGGATCTCCTGCCCAAAAAACTCCGAAGGAAACATAAAAAATAACAGCAAAGGAAAGGAAAAACATTGATCAGCTCGTTCTTGCAGTGAAGCTTCAGGTGGAGGAAACATCCTGGAAGAATCCTTGCTTTTTGGACTGGGAGCCAAGTGATCAGGTTTTCTTACACCTTAGCTTAAAGGCAATCTCGATAAGAATGAAAAGAAGAGATGTGCTTTGATCGCGTTGCGGGGGAGTGTGTGGATGTGCGATGTGATGCATTGTGATGCGAGCTGTTGTGTTCTTAAGGTGTCACATGCGATGGATTTGTGCGGCGTCACCAAGACCTGCTCAGGACATGCAAGACGTCGTTTGGCCAAAGCATGCACCAGATACAAGCAGCAAGGTCAAACATTTACACCGAATATATTCTGCTCCAGAAATCTTCACCGGTCAAATTTGCCGCGCTCTTCTCTAGAAATCTTGACTTGCATGCACCGGTGCTTTGTTCACACACCCAATGCAGCCATTCCATTGCGATGAACAAGCACCGGCCGGATGAACAAAGCTAACTTCCTTTCACTCTCTTGCTACCCTACTGGGGCCTATCTGCCTTCCCTCTGCCCTACCCGGCCCCAAAAATGCTTCCCAAAGGCCTAAGAAAGAAAATAAAAGGCCTAGAAAGAGGAAAGCACTCTCTCCAGTCCCCAAGCTAGCGTCAAATTCATAAGCTCGCTCTACTGCCAGCATAGACAGCCAGACTTTCTTTCGGACTCTAAAGAATCCAAGAACTGGACACTCCTGAGCTGGTACTCCAGCAGCAGGGTTGCCATTGCAAGGAAAGCCATCCTTGACCTGTACAACGGTATAGATCTGTTTGGGCACAAGGAACGGCACAACATGATAAATCAAGATTTTGAAGCATTCTTATTGAGTTCCTTGATTATTGTTTTCTTTTTGTTTTTGTATGTTCTTCTTTGCTCTACTTGTCTTTATTTCTTCCTGCGATTTCTTGCACTTCTTGTTGAACCACTTCAAGAGATCTGCTATGATTTGCCAAGGCCCGCACCAGTTTGATTCTGTCAAGGGATGTGAGCATGAAGCCGATGATTGTGACGTTGCAGTGAATGCCGACAACGCAGTCAAATGCCTGCAAGCCGGCACGGCTCACTGACAAATTGAAAAGAACCAATTCAAATTTGTCAGTGTCTTCTACCGTTCCGTACTCCTAAATACTTCAGGCGTATGGGTCATCAACAAGGATTCTTTCTTTTTTGTGGGTACCACGCTCTTGACAAGTTCACTTGAAGGTGTGGACTCTGCTCAAGTCCTGTTTTCCATGACATTATTGGATGAACATTTCAGCTAAAAGAACTTGCTATCAGCGAAACCAAACGAAGTCAGGACCTTCTCTTCGATCCCTTGCGAAATAAGAGCGCTGCAGTTCTCATCAAAATTTACCAAATTGCATTCTGGTATGCTTTCGAGTCGGCAATGCGCTGAACAAACAAACATCTAGAAAAAGCGTTTAGAAACCCTTAAAGCCTGATACCGGTGTAATTTTTCTTTTGTATTCCGAACTTGGGAACACATCATCGGAGCTTCGCCTGATATCCAAATGGCCCTCTGACCTTCAGGGAATGCAAAGTCTGAAACTGGCATGAGCCGCGACGCCAATCCGTTCGTCTCATTTGCCTTTTCAAAACGATAAGCTACTAGGAGCAAAGGGCATCGCTACTAGGAGCGATCGGACGCTACGTTCGGGGCTTTCGTCTCCGTCCAAACGAAACGAAGAACGCCTGGAGGTCGCTGGCATCGCTGGTGAACTCGGAGGCATCGGTACATGGCAAGGTATCGCTTCCAGCCACGTCCAAGTAGGTCACACAGTAGCACACCTTGAAGAGACCACCGTGCTGTGTTTCCACGCTGCTCAAACTCGCCTGACACGTTGTAAGCTCCAAGTTGCAGGTGACGTCCTTGGGTTCTCCTTGAGCGATCTGAGAATCTGCTTGCGACAAAGCGCATGGGGCTCCGCTGGCGATGATCAACACTCGGTCTGACAAGGCAAGTAAAGCTCCATCCCAGGGGCCCAAAGTGCATGTCTGTCCAGCAGCACACAGGGTATCGACTCGCGTAAAAGGGCCCTTGATGATCAAAGCACCGGCATCCACACGGAAATCCGAGGAGATCGCACAGGGTTCCGCCAGATTGGGACACCAGCACATTCGATAAAAGCCACCCGGAGTGGAGCTATTCAACCTGCTTGGTGGTTTCAACTTGCTTGAAACATACTAGTCAGTTTGTGTGTTCTTCCTCATCCCCAAGTAAAGTTGCTTTTTTTTTTCACATGGAAAAACACATCAAAATCTCCGAAACGCCGTAAACCTAGCCACGGTAGGAAGTCGGTGTTGTTGGATCCGTCGCCCCAACCGTAGCGCCGCCCCTGCTGCGTCGCTTCGTTGGAGATGGCACCGTTGGGAAAGCCCTCCACGCCGGCACCGACGCCACAGAGCTCCAAGGCCATGATCTTCTCTCCGTCTTGCAAGCCGTATCCATAGAAACTCTCCAAGGAGCACACAACACCTGGATAACATTGCAGCAATTGGAAGAGGGAAGGTCCTACCATGTGCAATTCACCACTATCCACAATGTAGTCCACGGGAGCGCTACATCGCGTGGTTGCAGCACACCAGCACAGGCGGTATTGACCTCCGGGCGATGTGGCTCTCAAAGGGCCCCAGGAGACGGTGCTTCCGAAGTTGGAGTGGATGGTCGACAGGGCATTGTTCGGTAGTCTGGCCAGGGTAGACGTGGTGCCACATGTATCAAGTACAGTGACCCTGTCGCTGGTGAGCAAGCCCTGCCCGAGGTATCCATTGAATTCACAAACTTGGCTCGAGATGCAGGTTTTGATGTGATCCAAGAGAGGACCAATCACTGTCAAATTGCCCGTGTCCACCTGGAAGTTATCAGGAGATTGACATGGCATACCCAAGGGACACCAGCACATGGCATAAGTTCCTCCTGAGGCCGTTAAACGCAAAGAGAAATCGAATTGTGACCCGCCACCCGTTGCAATGGCAATACCATTGTTGGAGAAGCCGGAGACATAGGTGGAAAGCAAGGGAATGCATGAGGGGCTAATGAGCAAACGATCTCCGTTCTGCAACTCATAGCCACTGAATTGTGTGATGCTACAAATTTGCCCAGTGGTACAAAACTTCCTCTGACCAATGGCTGGACCAACCATCTTCATAATGCCTGCCTCTGTGCGGAAGAACTCCCCAGAACTGCAGTTCGGTGCTGAAACAGAGCACCAACACATGGAATACTCACCCCCGGCACCGGTCACATAGAGTCCGCCACTGGAGGTCCCCCAGGCATACTCCGTGCCCGTGAAGATTGCGGGATCGGAGATGCCACCATCCGGCCAACCGAAGAGAACGGACGAACCCCCACATTGGTTCATGATCATGATCCGATCGCCATTGGCAAGGCCTAAACCTTGCAAGTTGCTGAAGCCACATTCCGTGCCACTTCGGCACGTGCGCTCTTGATTGAGAGCTGGCCCGGGAAGTGTCAACAAACCCGCTTCCACGTTGAACAAATCGGCGCGGTCACAGGAAAAGCTGTTGGAACACCAACACATCCAATAGACGGCACCACCTGCCGTGACATAGTTGTCCCAAAAGAAGCTGCTGCCGTTGGCGATCGAGGCTTCAGAGATCCCCATGTTGGGCCAACGGGGAACGATGCCCGTGGGATCGCCACAGTTGGACGACAGCATCATCCGATCCCCGTTGCTCAAGCCGTAGCCCGTGAAGTCGGTGACGTTGCACAGCTCGCCGCTCAGGCAGGTCTTGCGCTGCGTCAACGGGGCGGGTCCCACGATGTAGAGCAAGCCGTATTCCACACGGAAGTTGGAGCCACTTCTGGTACATGTTTGAGATGCGGCACACCAGCAAAGCTTGTAGAATCCACCCGGTGCCGTAATAATCGTGGCTTCTGCACCCGCCCAAGTCACCGTGGTTCCATTGTCCACCGCTGGATCCGAATAGCCGCTGTTGGGGAAGCGGGCGATGTACAAATCCGTATCACAGTATCTTAGGACCATCGTTCGGTCGCCATTGCTGAGACCGACCCCAGTAATCCCCGTGGCGGCGCACACGATGCCCGAAAAGCAGGTCTTCCCCTGGTTGTGATGCGGACCCACCAGCTTCATGGTACCAGCGTCCACGGCAAAGTCCTTAGGCTCCGTGCAGCTGTAGCCGGTGGCGCACCAACATAAGCGGTAGTAGCCGCCTTCGGAACGCACCTCCAGCACGCTGGTGGTGGCTTGCAAGGCCCAGTTGTAGTTTTGATAAGTGACTCCTTCCAAAGTGTATTGTACAATTCCTGGATCACTGATGCCCCAGGTGAACGTACTCGATGGCCAAAAATCCACGGTGGAGTTGGTCTGCCATTCAGGGCTGCAATCTCTCCTCTTCAGGCGCAAACAGTGCGTTTGACAAAATGCTGATGCTTCTTGCCAAGAATGACACACACACATTAATTTTCTTATTTCACTTGAAAAGAACCATAGATCTTTGAGCTCACATACCCCTGGTTCATGGTTGGGTCTTCGAGCCAGTCTCGAAGATCTCTCCTGATCATGATAAGATCAGAATTGTCCAAATGTCTTCCTTGAAGCAATGTGATGCTGCAGGGTTCATTGGCTACGCAAGTAAAGATCTGAAGGCGCTGTTGCACATTCAGGAGACCAGTAGGATCTGGAAGCTCCAAGAAAGGCCCCACCATGATCATCTCACCGATATCGGTCTGGAAGTCTTTGGCCTGTCATTGGTCCACCGCATGAAACCAAAACGGATCATGGTGCAAAAAAACATGAAAAGCCTGGAGGTTCCCTCAAGCCCCTTATCTGGTATGTTGCATGCAGGTCATGGAGTGTGAGAACCGGAGTTCTCATCGAATGTTCAAAACACAGGAAAACAATTCTGGTCAAAACGTCTCGTGCCGTTTTACCATCAGGTCTCTCTTGCTGTTTTCGAATCCAATGTCTGTTCTATCGACCCAATCTGCCTCGGTGCACTTGTAGTTCGCAGCGCACCAACACAAACGATATGCCCCCCCCGGACTGGTCACTGGCTGGGTTCCATTGCCCCAGTTGAAGCTGGAGCCATTGAGTGTACCATTGTTGGAAGGGCCGTCAAACCAGCCATATTGACCTGCTGCAATGAGCTGGAAATTGTAAATCGCCCATTTATCCGAGCTTTGGACCAGCTGAAGCGGTTCGGGATGTGCACAGGTGTCCAGCACCATGAGCTTGTCACCATTTTGTGTATAGTGGCCTTCGACTCCCGAGAATGCACAAGGCTGTCCTGCAACACAGGTCCGACTGTAGGTCAAAGGATATGGCCCTAAGAAGGCCAAATGTCCAATGTCCACTCGAAAGTCGCTGGCGGCTGAGCAAGTGTAGTTGTGAGCACACCAACAAAGTCTGAAATTGCCACCCTGACTGGTAGGCCTCACCCCTTGACAATCAAAGTTGTAAGGTTCCATGCAGGTGGGTTCGCGGCCCCAAGTCACCAAGGTCCCGTTGTTGGTGGCGAGGTCTGACACACCACCTCCGGTGAAGCGCAAGGGTGCTGAGAAGGAACCGCAGGTCTCCAGCACCATGATGCGATCATCGTTTCCGAGATCTTGCCCGGTCAGATCGCCGGCATAGCAGGGCTGGCCGGAAATACAGGTGTGATCTTGATATTGAGGAGAAGGTCCGATGATGGTCAAGGTCGCCACATCGCTTTGGAAATGTCGGGGCAACTGACACCCGAAGCCAGCAGCACACCAGCATAAACGGTACAAACCTCCTGCTGCAGTGATGGCTGCACCGCCGGACTGCCCCAAAGCAAACGAGGAGCCGCCATCCGTGGCCTTCGGTCGAATGAGTTTTCAGTCTTGCGAAGCATGAAGAAACACGTGCAAGAGAGTCAATGGAAGTTGTCACAACTACTAGCGTGGCACTTGTTTCTACTAGCTTCTTGTTACTACTAGTAAGGCACCTGTTACTACTAGCGTGGCACTTGTTTCTAAAAACTCTTTGGAATCCCATCAAACCACCGTTGAAAATCCGGGGCACCACTGAAGTCAAGGCATTGTAGTAATGATTGGCCTTACAACGTTCAACACAGGAGCTTCATTGTTCTTGCTTCCAACCACTTCCTTTTCTTTAAAAGGCAACCACTTTCCGTGTTCGTTTCATAAACCTATGTCTGACATTGATTGCTGGCATCGTGAGCTTGGCACACATGTGTCCAAAATCATGATCCTGTCTCCGTCCTGGCAGGAACTGCGAATCAAGTAAAATAAATCTGCCCAATTCACAAAGAAACAATTCACACATTTTGTGCTACATTTGCTTCTCTCCCTTGAATGCTTTCCTTTTCTTCGTTCTTTTCCGGGCCATCATTCGCCCAACGGCGCCTGCAAGTATGTGCCCGTGATGTTCTTGAACTCGCAGGGCTGCCCCGCCACGCAGGTCCTCAGCATCTGTCGGAGCTCCCACCGTCTCCGCCCCTTGGCGCTCGTTTTCGGAGCTCACCAGCGTCTGGTTGAGACACGCAAACACCTCTTTCAATCCTCGTTTTGCTCCAATCAGCGAAGTTAAGATTGCCCAAAACATCTAGGAACCAAATGCATGGTGCTCGAGCTATCCTGCGTCCTACCTACAAGCTTCCTATTGCTATGAGCTTACTACTCCCTTACTTCATTAAGTAGGCGCCTACTTAATTACGTAGGAACGGGCAACAAATAGATCGACTTTAAAAACACTAGTTATTAGTAGCTTCTTGTTACTAGTAGTAATGCCAGGAGCTACTAGTAGCGTCCTTCCTCCTAGTAGCGATGCCCTTGTCACTAGTTGCAAGGAATTCGGTCGATCAAGGAATTGAGCTCCCGACCTGCCCTGTGAATTTGGCCATGGGCCAGCCACGTGAAGCGTTCCAGTGTCCGTGCGGAAGTGTGACCTCAGTGTCCGACTCAAAAGATTCCAGGTGCTCTGTTGCCCAGAAACGGACTCTGTTTTTCTCACATCTTTTGACACCAAAATCGTGGTCGCCAGAACTCGCCCGAACCTCGCCGGAAGCAGACCGATAGGACCGATAGGACCTTACACTTTCACCGTCCGGATGTCGGCCCGAGATCCTCTGCACTTGGCCGTCGACGGTCGATTGCATGGCATATCCGGCTGTGGATTGGCGCACCAGCAAAGGCGGTAAAGGCCACCAGCAGTTGAAATCTGCCAGCATCGAAGCTTCGAACACCCAACGCCAACTTGTGAATCCCCAAAAAACGACTTGCAATGGACACCTCTACTGAACAGCTTAAGCCAACCATGCCTCACCTCGGTCTTCCATGAACACCCCGATTCCGCCTCCACGTGCCCCCAGGAGAAGGTGCTGCCGCCATCGGTGGAGGGCTGTGAAATCGGCAGCGTCCTCGCTGTGAGATGTGTCACGTTGAGAACCGAATTGCAAAAGGAATCCAAAAGCAGGGTAGGAGCGATCGGAGGCTACTAGGGGCTCCTGGCCGTACTACTAGGAGCAAGAAGCTACTAGGAGCAAAGGGCATCGCTACTAGGAACAAGGACGCTAAAGCGATGGCCTCCAATTATAAGAATACATTTTTGTGTTGTACGCCTGACTTGTGCTCTCTTCTTGGCCGGTGCCCCCCCTGAAAGACCCTAGTAGAAAAGACGCAACACATGCACTTGGATCCCTTGGAGAAGTCGACGCCCATTCTACTACTTGGACCTCGGTGCATCAGGATTGCTCCATCTGGGCACCACTGCTGCCATGCTGCCGCAGGTGTCCATCACCTCAAACACCAGAACAGCAGAGCGCACATCCAGACCGTGTGCCGTCGCGGCAGCAAAGCAGCGGGTGAATGAACGAAGCAGAACGATATTGATGTCTCAAAGCATGACTGAACACGGAAAGCTGGTCAAAATCAAGGGCTAATTCTTCGTCACTGAGTGGCCATGATGACATCTCCGTCCGAAAGCAAGTAGCCCTGCAAGCCAGACCATTGGCAAACCTGCAAATCATTGCAAAGCGCTGCAAAGTGCAAGGCTCAAATCAGACTGAAAGGGGCCTTGTAGGGCAAAACTCCAGCATTCAACCGCCGGTCAATTGGTTTTGAAATGGTGAGGGTTCTGCGGACAATTTCAGCACCTGCCTGCCCACTCACACAGGTTCGTTCTTGATACAGTGGAGCAGGTCCAACAAGGTTCAGCGTGCCAGCATCGAAGCGGAAATAACTATTTCCTGACGAACATAGAGCTTGGCACACGAAAGGCACAGCTGCACAGCTTCTCACATCTCTTGAAAGATGCTGGCATCACATCACAGCCCTGACCTTCTTCTGCAAAGCTTTGTGAAGCCCAACAAATTCGATAGGTGCCACCCTGCGCTGTCACGTAGGCTGGAGAGTATTCGCCTTGCAAGGAAACAGCCGGTTCACCGGCGAAGCACTCACGAAGAGGTCTGTGCCTCGTTTCAGCGTCTTCACCGGTGCTCCGAGGCCAAAAAAAAAAGAATCCAAACGCCACCGCTGCTCTTAGGTTGGAGGCCATTGCTCTTAGGTTAGAAGAAAACAAGGCCAAAATCCAACCACCTGTCGTTTGGCCGCCTTTGGCCCTTGAGAGCCCCATGGTAAACAGGCTGCACAGAAGCTGTGTACCGTTTTGGCTGCTTAAGCATTGGCCGAATGCCACTGTATGCCCTAAAAATGGAGGCCGCTTTTTTCGGCAGCCTTGTCTGCAAAGTGTGGGGGAGTGGGACACAGTAGACTCAAGTAAGGGCCTTGTGGAGAGCAAGAAATCACTCGAATAGAGGATCAAGAGCTAAACCTCTTCGACCGTTTGATTGTCGACAAATCTGGCAGCTCACTCAAATTCTGAAGGATTGGCTTTGTCACAAACACCCGACGACCTTTGGTTAGCATTTTGCACTGAAGATCCAATGTGTTCTCAGCAGAAGCTGAAGTGGTGCGAAACTGTGGAGAGATTGGCCACTGGGTGACATTTTTGGCCATGTTCCTTGAACGCAAAAGGACCCAGTAACCAGGTGCCAACATCGAACGCAATCCGAAAAAAACATCGCTTTCTCTCAAGAAAACAACAAAGAAAAAAGGTGTTGCTTAAGGTCACAAGAAAAAAGACACAACAAAGAAAACAAGGGAACAGGAACACGTCGGGTAGGCCAGGTTTTCGGCAGCTCGGACATCCGCTCTACGGACTTTTTCCGACGTGTCCAACGACCGTGGCCGACCGTGGCCTCCCCAAGTATAAACGCTGCCGTACTGCGAGCTGGTGTTGTAGGCCGGCAAAGACCTGAAGGGAAAGGCGGGCTCCGAGGTTCCGCGCCGATGCTTGAAACCCCGGTTCTCGCGGCCTTCCGCTGGAAGGAAAGCGGGGCACAATGTTGTCCTCGTTTGATCCATAGCCCTTGGCTCCTTGGTATCTGGCACACCTGGGTCATCCGCATGAGCTGCTGGAAAGCTTCTTGCTTTGAACCTCATTAGGTTGGAGGCCATAGCTAGTAGGATGGAGGCCATCGCTTCTAGCTTGGAAGCCAATTGCTATTAGGTTCGTATTCTCATTTTCAATAATGCTTTTTCAGCTTTTTTTGGAACTTTTTGTTTCCACAATTCTTGTTCTGCCCGGTGGTGCTGGGCATCAGACTCATCCAGAATCACCACACGATCGCCATCCTGTGCGGCACGTGTGACGTCGCGTTTCGAGTCCCAGATCCTCCAGTTCCTTGTCGCTTCTTGTATCGATTGAAGGCTTAGCTCTTATTTTTCGTCTACAAAACATGTACAAACATGAAGTATAGCACATTTTGAAAGGAGGCGGGCTCCTCAGCGTGAGGTGAAGCCTTAAGATCTCATCAAAACCTAACCACCCGTCGAAGCTCAAAATGACGAAACCCTGCCTGAAGACCGATGCCCGTGATGCCGCCCCACATACATTGTTGACCTCTGACGCAAATGATTGGCATAGATTGGAAATGCATGACATAACCATTCTGAGAATTGCGGCCTCCCTACTGCTACAGCAGCAACTACTATTCTCACCTCGAGCAAATGGGGTTGAGTATTGTATATATATATATACACATACCGCACTAGAGGAAACAAGAGTTCCCAATACTCAACTTTGGCCTTTCTCTCAAAAGCACAACTGCTTCACTCGTCAAAAGAGACACAGAAAAGGAGGGGACGAAGGAGAAAACCGGAACCGAAACAAGAAGCTACTAGTAACAAGTGCATCGCTTCTAGTAACAAGTGCCTTACTAGTAGTAACAAGAAGCTAGTAGAAACAAGAAGCTACTAGTAACAAGTGCATCCCAAGAACGAATTGTTTCAAGTCGACCCGATGTTTGAAGGTTGAAAGCTCTGAGGCTTCCCGCCACTGATGCACGTGCGGTTGTTCTGGTAGCTGTCGGGGCCAAGCACCTATAAATAGCAACACATCGCATGCGTGGTGAGTGTGCAGAGTCACGACTAAAGGCGACCAACCAATCTACTAGTAACAAGTGCCTCGCTAGTAGTAACAAGTGCCTTACTGGTAGTAACAAAAAGCTATTAGAATTAAATTAATAGCTTCTTGTTACTACTAGTAAGGCACTTGTTACTAGAAGCGATGCACTTGTTACTAGTAGCTTCTTGTTTCTTTTCTTTCTTTTTCTTCTTTCACTTTAGTTTAAATACTTTTGGACCTTCCTTTCTTCTTTCTTTTCCTCTTCTCAATCAAAACTAATGCATATCTTGTGGCTGATTCTGCCTGCATGTAACCAATGTCCACTTCAAAGTCGGATGGAACTGCCTGCGACAAAATCACTGCCTTTACGCAACGACTGCCTGAACTGTCAAGCTTGAAAAAGACTGAGAATATCCCTTGAACACTCTCAACATAAATTAAATTTAAGTCTAATAGCTTCTTGTTGCTACTAGTAAGGCACTTGTTACTAGTAGCGATGCACTTGTTCCTAGTAGCTTCTTGTTACATACCTGTGGATGAATACATAAATACCAAACTTCTCCCCTCCCAAAGACGTGAAGTCCTGTGGGAAGCCACTGGCAGCCCAGCAAAGCCGATAGATTCCACCCTTCGCCTCGTTGCAAACGAACCAACGAAATCCACCGATGGTACAGGGATGAACCAAGGGGTCTTGGCATGGATTGTCCCATTAAGTTGGATGGATGTGAGACTCTCAATCAAACAATGAACAAATCAGTTAGACCTCAGAGATCTTTGTAATTGGATCTCGACTCTCAAAAGATTCTTTTTCTCTTGGCTCTCAAGCTAAAAAAGAAACAAAAGCAAAACACCTTCCGATGTGTCGGGCAGGCGTTTTTCAAACGGTGACACGGCGGCAAACCGTGGCACCGTGTCAACCACTCTGAGTGCATCACTGAGATTGCTACGAGTCGATCTCCACCCCAGGCAAAGCTCGTTCCACCATCCGTGGCAGGGTTTGAAATGCCCCTTGGCCTCAAAATCAGGCTGAGGAGGTCGCTCTTAGGGTGAAGCAATTCTGAGGGTGAGTGCCATTGAACATCAAACCATGTCATCACGTCACACGTCGCGAACGACCACGTGAGGTTGATGACATCATCGGGAGCGACATGATGGGCATCAACAGAGGCTCTGGCTCATCTGGAATGCCATCTGCGTCTCCCGAAAAGCCGTATAAAACATTCACCTGCAGAGAGGCCATCGCTATTAGGTTGGAGGCCGTTTCCAGAATCCAGTTGATGCACCAAATTCAATGGTACCAAGTCCAGAATGACACGCGCACTCGCACGGCCGTGACAGGGCCTTTTTAACCAAAACAGGGGTGTTTCACAGGTACTCCTTGATTGCGATTGCAACCAACATAGTCGAAGTCCAAACAAATTGACTTAAAGCAGAAAGCTTTCCATCTTCCAGGCTTTGGTAGATCTTTCCTTTCTTGTTGATCGATTGCTTGTTAAAAATCTAGGAACCAAATGATTAGTGCGTCAAGGAAGATCCCCCCGCCAGGCGGCGGGAGCTTCCTTGAAGAAGCGTGAGCTATCCTGCGTCCAGTAGGTAGTAGCTTAAGTAGCCTAGTAGCTTACCTCCTTACTTAACTAAGTAGGGAAGAGGGGGAGCGAGCTAAAAACAAAAACACACCAAAGAAAGCACAACAAACGCGATTTGCTCCTGTTTTTTGGTGCCCCAAAAAGGCGACGTCAAACCGACACCGAGGCCACGACGCTCAAGCCGTCACGACCACATGTGTCCAAGACCATGATGCGATCACCATCCTCAGGAAACGGCCAAAAATAGGCCAGGTACCGAACAGGGAGCTACGGAGCAGCGGCCGGCCGGCCTAAAAAGACCTTCCTTTTAGGCCGCTCTCAGGACCTTGAGACTTTCCTTCATTTTCTTCGTTCTTTCCGTTCCTCTTTTCATGTTCGTGGTCTGAACATAAGAACTTAGGAGCGGAAGCTTCCTTTCTGTCTTCTTTTTCTTCTCTCTTTCTCTCTCTCCAAAGAGAACTGACTTGTGTAAAGTGGTGAGACCGCAAGGTGAGACTCCACCTTCGAAATTGCAAACGAGTGGCTTCCTTGCTCCTAGTAGTAAGGCCAGGAGCCCCTAGTAGCTCTTGCTCCTAGTAGTCAGTTTTACCAACTTAGGTGCTTTTATTAGGTGGACTAGCCCTTCTCTCCTTAAGAATGCTGAATTCTTCTTTAAAGCCTTCCGCAAGCGAGGACCGGGCACTCAAGTCGAAGCCAGTGATGTTGGTAAATGCGCATGGCTGTCCCGAAGAACAGGTTCGGCTTTGGTCTCAGCAAAAATGGAGCAATCTCTGTGTGCAAACTGAAGTGCAAGACTGGACCCTTGTCACTGGACCCTTGTGCGCTCTGTCTGCCCAAAGAACGATATTTCTGCTAGCTCACTGCGAAGCGGCTAGCGGCAGTCCGAGTATGGACACCGAAAGACTGAAGGGTTTCGCCGTCTTTACTCCACTGACCAAGGCAAGGCTGACAACTCGGAATGAGGACGGAACCGTCAAGTGACAACTCGGAATCTCTCCCATGACTCGCCCAACTTCCCAAGTCTCAGGTTTCTTAGGCTGTGGCTAAAGGGCGCTGGACCAATGAGATCAAAGCCTCGTGGCCGTGCGCACAGCGCAGCTGCCAAGAGAAGAACTTCTCAAATGATGCCGAACAAATGCTCAGCACATGATTCTGAACAAGAATGCTACCTACGGGTTTTGGACTCAGCCCTACCAGTTCTGCCAAAAACGTTCCAAACGGCAAAAGAGAGGGCTATGAGGGTTAGGTCTTTGCATGCGAAACGGCCCTTGTTGTAACTCATGACAAACACTTCAAAAGCTACAGCACTCTATGTCCACGCACTTTCAGATCGAGTACATTGTAAGGTACTTGGAAGTACTTCCGAAGCGGAACGTTCGATCTTTCTGCCGTCGGGGAGCGGCCAAAGTCCACACGAAACTCCGGCACTGCGCTGCATGAATAGCCAGCGGCACACCAGCACAAACGATAGCGTCCACCAGCAGCTGTTATGGTCGTTGTTCCCCATGATACCGTGCTGCCACCAGATGTGGCTCCTTGCGACAAGCTCTGCACTCCGTTGTTGCTGGGGAATCTGGGCAGGTGCAAACCGGAGTCGGAGGAGCTGTCAAAATGAGAAAATTGAGACGCATTCACATAGTATCCACAAGTCTCAAGGATATGCACCAAATCACCATCTTGCAAATCTGTCCCTTGCAGCGGCTTAAGCTCACAAACTTGTCCAGCAACACAGGTCTTGTGTTGAAACAAAGGAGCAGGTCCAAGCAGTGTCAACACTCCGAAGTCCATGCGGAAGTCCTCTGCTTGGCTACACTGTGCCCCTTGTCCTGACGCGCACCAGCAGAGTCGGTATTGGCCACCAGCACTGGAGGGTGGTATCAAGCTCTCGCGTGGAGTCTGGTAACCGCCGAAGCGGAATTCATCCCCTGGCATGGCCCCGGTGAAGGCACCAGCACGTTCACAGAGGTACTTCCGTGTGCCGGTGCATGCATCATCAAAGAAGAATCCGTCGGAATCCAAATACACGCAATCCTCTGTGTTCGAAAGAGTCAGTGCAGGCTGAAGCGTCCCCCAGTTGGAGAACGCGAAGGATGAACCGTCAGAGTACACGAAGGTGCCCTCTGTGGCTTGATCGCTCAATCCAATCCAATAAGTTTCTCCAGTGTCCATGATCCACTGCACCAAGAAGTCCACATCTTCTTGTGAAGAAATGGATGCTAAGTGTCCTCCATAGATCACATCACAAGCAGCTTCGGCATCTGCCCAAGTCAAAGGCGAGGTAAACACCGCGTAGCAACTGCTGCTGGGATGAAACGGACTCCACGTCATCGACGATCCGCAGGGATGCGCCGAGGAGATCGCCGGCTCGGACAGTCCGATGGGTCCTCCTGCGGTGGAGCCCGGCCAACGATCGGTGACGGTCAAACATCCAAGGCTTCCATTGGCGGCGTCCTGCGGGCATAGCTGCCCTGCCACCTGGCCACACTCATCCAGAATCATGATCTTGTCGCCATTTTCGAGTCTGTAACCCTGGATATTGCTCACCACACAAGCTTGGCCTGCCACGCAGGTGCGGTGCTGGTCCATCAAGCTTGGCCCAGCTAGGCTAAGCTCCCCGAGCTCCACTTTGAAGTGTTCAAACATGGAACATGTTTGGCCGAACGCACACCAGCAAATCTTGTAGATGCCACCCGGCGCAGAGAAGGGCTGCGAGCTAGAGACCCCACCCCAGGTGTAGTCGGCACCTCCATTCACCGCCGGATCTGAAATGCCACAAGCGACACTTGGACGTTCATAGAGGGAGTGCTGGTCATCATCACAAGGAATGTCTCGAAGGCAATGTAAGGAGCTCCTACAGCTTCCTGTGACGCGAGGAACCAAGCTGGGATGACTCATCGAAATGCCATCCCAAATCTGTCCACAGGTGTTCAAGACCATGATCTTATCCCCCTCGGCTAAGGCGGTGCCTGTGAGACCCAGCAAGGGACATGCCTGGCCACTCAGGCAGGTCAAGTGTTGTTCCAGAGGTGAAGGTCCTTGAAATGTCAACACTCCGGCATCCGCCTGGAAGTCCGATGCGTCAAGACAGGTGTCAAAGTTGCTGGAGCTCCAGCTGGAACTGTTGGGTCTGCACCAGCAAAGCCGATACCTTCCTCCCGGAGCCATCGACGGCGCCTCAGCACCCCAGGAGCTTCCAAAGAGGTGTGAGGTGGTCACATCTCTCATGAGATAAACTTCAGACCCACTTTCGAGCCAACCGCTGTAGGTGAAATTCCAGGAGATTCCATGTGCCGTCACCACCAAAGATTCCAAAAACCATCGGTCAGCTGTATCCGAAAAGATCTTCACAGCATTCCACTCCCAGTCAGCTGGCCAAGTAGTTATGACTTGAAAGGACTGATAGTAGGACTCGAGATTGCTCAGGCTTAGGGCCGTTCCAAAGTGACACTCCAAATTGGACCTGCAAACGTAGAGCCGGAAGGGACCTGAAGAGTTCGCCCCCGGTCGGTTGCCGGTCAAGGTGGTCGCCAACAAGACGGGAGACGAAGGCTGCCAGTCGATGTTGGAGAAGCCGCAGACGCGATCCTCCTGCCGTTCGACGCTTCCAACGGTGCGGTATAAGAAGCAGGTGAGGTCACTGGGGCGATGTACCCAAGCGACACAATCACCGTAGAGACTCCTCTCACACAGGGAGCAGCATTCATCTTGTGTCTTGCCGGTGAGTCCAGATCCATGGGCGTGCAAAGCTGTAGTCTCCACGACTCCCAAACCAATGTGTCCAAAGCAGGAAGATGGCTGCAAATCTGCAGTTCCATTGAGTGGGAGACGATTTGGAACACTGTTCAAAATATCAGATGGAACACCACAAGTCTCCAAAATTTGTACCTGGTCTCCAGCATCCAGTTCCATTCCCAAGATCTCAAAGGATGCCACTTGCCCCAGAACGCACGTTCGTTCCTGTGTGTATGGACCCACCACCACCAAGGTTCCTACCAGAACTCGGAACTCGCTGGGAGCCGTGCAGCCGGTGCCGCCCACGGCGCACCAACAGATTTGATACTTCCCTCCCGGCGCGGTGAGCATCGTTCCAGAAAGGCTTCCCCAGTGCACCGTTCCGGCACCGGACGCATCCGAGATAGCGCCATCCGCCAAGCCGTCGAGGGCGGGAAGGCGACCACACTGAGCCAGAACGGCGTAGTGGTTTTGATCGGCGAGTTGGGGACCGGTCACCCCCACGAGGCTGCACAAGGTGCCGGCGATGCAACGCTGCGTCTTGCCGCGCAAGGTGTCGACATTGGCATTGCTAAAGAGGTGTTCAACGGCGAAGTCTGCCAAACCAATGTCGAAGAAACGGACGTCGTCCAAAGCTCCATGGTATGGCATCTCCTGAAGATAGTTCAGTAAGAAAACTCCACTGGAATCACTAAAAGGCAAATCAGGTGCCAAAGCAGCAAAGCCCCACCGCTGTCCGTTCCGATAAAAGACCACGGTATCTGCTTCCTTCACGAAAGCGAGATGAGTCCATTCATTCACTTCCAGGACTGGAGCTAGTGAGACAGAGCTGAGTGATGTGCTTGCATAGGGCCTCGTGTGTGGCGTCTCAAAGCTCTGTGTGTAGTTCTGCCCAGTTTCATCTAGCATGGACCACTCCAGCCCAGAGCTGCTCATGAAAATGGATGGGGAGATGTGGAGCTCTGGCAGGTGCTGTGCGAGTCGACGTCCCAAGAGACCTCCCGCACTGGAGGAATAAGGCTTCACCCACAAGGAGATGGTGAATTCGTGCAAGGAATCATTGGTATATGTGTCAAGTTCAAGGGGATCAATCGGCAGATTGAGCTGTGTGCCATCCGTGAAAAGCAATGCTCCTTGACTGTAGCCGTCTCGTCCCACCACAGCTGAAACGGAACCCGTCACAGGTGTTCCAGCAGAATCGAGGGACTCGCGCACAGACACGTCGTCCAAGTGGAAGGATGCAACACTCTGCGGGAAGAGGTCTCGGACGAGGAAATCTTTGAATTTGGCGGTGCCACTATTGCCCGTCATGGTGTAAAGTCCAATCCTTCTGCCATTGGCTGCCGTGGTGAGCTGTCGAGCTAATGGCCTCCACTCAGTCTCTGTGAAGAGCTGTTCGCTGGGAACTCCGACGGTTTTCACATAGACCCGTGGTCTCACACCGGCATCCGAGTTCCTGACATCATCAGGAGCAAGCCATGAGTTCGACAGCATGTAGAACAGATCATAGCGTCCAGTGCCCGTTCTCACCAGCTTCAGCGTCACCCAGTCGGCACCGCCCAGCGCCGTGAGATCCTCCGATGCCTCAGGTCCAGTGAGCCCCACCTGTGCGGCGTAGCGCAGTGCCACCAGACCACCGGATCCGCCGGTCCAGCCGCGCGAGGAGAAGGTGTCCAAGCCAAAGAGCAAATCGGGCATCATGCCGTCGCGGTCCACCAAGGTGAAGCCCGCGGAGATCTCCGAGCTGGTCAACGCCACCGCCACGCGCGCCTCCCAGAGCCCGGAACTGGGAGCCTCCACGTAGAGGATGGGCATGGAACCTCGAGCTGCTCCCAGCTCGGTGCTGCTTAAGCAATGTATGGCCAAAACCGGTCGAGTGGAATGGCTGAACTCCTTGATCTCCACCACGGAGGGCTCCGGGAGATCCTTGCGCCAGAGATCCTTCGGCTCCAAGGGGCCTGCGAGTGGCGCGAAGAGATCGGCCAGGTACTCGGAGGGCCCCGCGAGGAGCAACGTTCCAGCCTGAATTGCATTCGCACGCACGTCGTGCAGCACGTGCCATAGGCTGGCTTTTTTTGGTTGGCTCGACTTTAGGGAAACAAAAGAGAAGGTCGATCTTTTTGTGCATTGGAATCCTAGGAATGGGTTCTTTAGAAGGAACATGACTTTGGCCCTCTCTCGTTTGCGAACAAGGTTGGCTCATCGTCAAACAATGTACAACACAGGGGTTCTTACTTTAAGGCTGCAAACTCTGTTGATCGCAAGAAAGCAAATGATCTGTGATTGAACTCTTCATGTTTCACCCCATTCTTTTTGCTCAAGGTGATTTGAAGAAGGTTGTTTGTTCCAAAACATCACTGTATGTTTTTGTTTCAGTCGATGGCATCCAATCGAGAGTAACAAACAAGACTTTCTTAAAACGAGTTTTCCACGAACTGCAAAGCATTTCTTGATTCCTGGCCTCTGTCTTGAAGTCTTCCGACGAACTGCATCCGCTGACTCCAGCACACCAGCACAAACGGTAGACGCCACCTGCCGAAACATGATCAAACTAGCCAAACATATTCCAGTAGACCTATCTTCCTTTTCTTTTTTTGTTTTCTACTAGCGATGGCCTCCAACCCAATAGAGATTCTAACATTCATTCCAGGGCATGTTTCCCAGCATCTCTCCAAATGAACAAAACATATCAGCAATATCTTTCACATCACATCAAATCCCTGCTGATCCATGATAGAGCCCTGGTTCTGGGGTTTTGAAGCCTGTCGTTGCAGTCCACCTAGCCACTGCAAACACTAGCATCTCATGCAGCTATGACCTTGCAAACTTGCCAGAAAACAAACCACACAGAAACAACGAGCTAGCTTCGCTATGGCCGTAAGAGAGTCGTCTGTCGCATCTCCAACGCCCAAGTTGCGTAACGTCGCGTCTTCCCCGCCCCCACCTGCGGCGGTGATGGGCTCAAGAGATCCCCAGGAGAATTGGACATTTTCTCCAACATAGTCTTCCAATTGCAACTGTCCTCTCTCGGGGAAACCGGGAATTTCGGGATATCGACTTCGCGGAAATGGCCAAGCTTGTACTGGGGCACCACATTCGTCAGCCACCATGAGGTGATCCTCGCTGCTCATATGGATTCCCACGATGGAACCCCAGCAGGGGAAGCCCGACGCACAGTAGACCTCTTGATTTCCCAAGGGACCAATGAGACGCAGTTCGCCGATGTCAACTCCAAAGTGTTCGATGAGTTCACAGCGATATCCAGCAGCGCACCAGCACAGCCGGAACTGTCCACCAGAAGCTGTAAGTGGTTCTTCACCCCAGGTAAAGAATGTTCCAGATCCAAGACCAGGCATAGATAAACCATCCTGAGGAATGCCAGGCACCTCGCTGCCCAAGATGCCACAGGTGCTCAAAATGTGAAGCGTATCTCCATATTGCAACTCAAGACCTGTGATGTTTGCGACCTCACAAGGCATTCCTCCGATACAGGTGCGGTCTTGATCTACCGGAGATGGACCTAACAGCAGGAGCTCCCCAAGATCTGTTGCAAACTCCTCCGCTGCAGAACAACTCACGTACTGGCGTGTAGTGTGTGTAGGTCGACACCAACAAAGTCGGTAACTTCCACTGGGCGCTGTGATGAAGAGGTAGCTGTAGGTGCTGTTCTCCTCCATCCACGTGAAGGTTTCACCATTTGGCATCACTGTGGTGACAATGCCATCGTTGGGAAAGCGAGGAATCAGATCACTCAAACCGGAAGGAACGATGCCGCAGGTCTCTCGCACCATTAGGAGGTCGTCCGCCGACAAGGAGTGTCCGAAGATTGAGGTCAAACGACAGCTTTGGCCACTCATACAGGTGCGATCCTGCTGCAATGGAGAGGGACCATGAAGTTGCAATGATCCTAAATCCTGGCGAAAGTCTTCCACTTCAGTGCAGTTGAAGCCTCCGGCACACCAGCATATCCGATAAGTGCCACCAGCAGCAGTGACCAGCATGCCAAAGTCAAAGTTGTTGAAGAGGCTATTGGAATATCTAGGATCCGTGCTTGGCACGCCGAGCGTGTTCCCCAGTCCATCTTTGATGACTCCATGGAAGGACTGGGCACTGGCGAGGCCCTTCTGTGGCCAGCCATGGTCACCTGAAAAGTTGAGATCCCCAAGATTGCTCACCCCACAGGTATCCAAAATCATGATCTGATCATCAATCTGTAGACCTTCACCCAGAAGGCCTTGAATGTGACAGTCTTGTGCTGTGACGCAGGTCACGGATTGCTCCAGCTTCGGGCCGAAGAGACGCAATTCACCCACATCCACACGCAAATCTGAAGCGGAGACACAGGCAGCTGCAGCTGCACACCAACAAATCCGATATTGTCCCGATGCCGCTGTGATTGGAGTGGTGAAGCTCAAGGAAACCACCTGAAGCTCCTGCCATTGCAAAGACTGTGGCAGGTTCCAAGCTTCCAAATCTGCTTCACGAACCAGGATCTCTGGCTGCCCAGCAAGTGGGAAGCGATCAACCACTCCAAAGCCACAGGTCTCCAAGATCATATAGGAATCTGCTGTGCTAATGTGGAGACCTTGGAGGTTTTCAATCTCACATGGCTGTCCAGCGACGCATTGGTGATGTTGGAAAGCTCCAATCTCTGGACGTAGTCTGCCACGTTGTTCCAAGTAGAGTGTTCCCCAATCTTGAGAAATCGACTCCGTAAAGGCTCCCACTGCAATCTGTGAGGGTCCCACCAAGAGAAGCTCACCAACGGCCACTCGGAAATCGCTGGGTAAATCACAACGGCTTGAGCTCGCTTCACTGGAATTCACGATGGCTCTGCACCAGCAGAGTTGATAGCGACCGCCGGATGCTAGGACTGGAGAAGCCCAAGTGATTGAAGAGCCGCTGCTGGTGACACTGATGTTCTCGTTGAAGCCTGGAATCGCTGAAGTCGTCACACCACAGGTCTCCAAGGCCATGAAGCGATCGTCGTCGTCCAAATGGACACCGACGAGGTCTTCGATGACGCAGGACTGTCCACTGAGACAGGTTCGAGCCTGAGAACTCGTTGGCCCGATCAAGGTCAAGCTGCCCACCGTCACCTGTGTCACTCACGTGAGAAAAGAACGAGAAAAAACCACAAGAGGCGCATTTAAGAAACAAGATGGGGAGAACACACGCACACACCACACTGTAAACAAAGTAAAGTGCACTGTGAAGTCAGGTGCCCCTTCTTTCTGGTGCTCTAGAAGATTGCTTTCCGGAAATAGTAAACCGAAGAAAAAACGGCTTTTCGACTTTTTGTGTCTTTTCAAAGACAACTACTTGAGCCAAGAAGCCGCGTGGTATGAGAGCTCCGCAGCAGCGTTTGTGAGAGCGGAAGACCAACAGAGTTGATACATGCCTCGGTGTTTCAGATTCTATTTTTCTGGGGAATCGTTTCACCTGTAACAAGAAGCTACTAGGAGGTCTTTGAAGCTACTAGTCACAAGGATGCTACTGGCATGTCTTTGAAGCTACAAGGACCAAGGACGCTACTAGGAACGCTCTTGTTATCTTTGTGTTTCCATGAACTTATTCACAAGAAAGCTCTACTGAAGCGAAACAATGCCTTGCAGATGCCTGGCAGTGTTGTAAGCTAAAGTCGACACAGCAAACAACCCAACCGCTCTAAGCGCATGGCCGCCTGCTGCCGTGAGGAGGCTGAAGGTGAACGAGGCCCCGGAACCCTGCGCCGTAGATGCCTCCACCAAGATGCCAGACCTTCGCACGCCACAGGTGTCCAGGATGGCCAAGGTGTCGAAGAACCCGACGTGTTCGCTGAGACCGTGGCCATGGATGTCCTCCACGACGCAGCTGTGCCCCGCAATGCACGTTCGACCCGATCTGATCAAGTGAGGTCCAAGGAGTTCCAGATTCCCGATCGTCACAAGGAAGTGTTCTTCACGGATGCAGGGTGGGGAACTGCCTGAACACCAGCAAAGTTTGTATTGTCCACCATGAGCCGTGACGATGGTTGTACCAAAAGTCAACTCACAGTCTCCTCCCTGACAGGATTCATTGGTCATGGGAATCACAGTGAGCAAACCTGCATCTGGCAATCCAGTTACTAGACCTCCTCCTTGACCGCAAGTCTCAAGAATCATATACGAGTCGCTGGGAGATAGCATCTGACCCAAAGGTGTGGAAAAGCTACAGGGCTGGCCACTGATGCAGGTTCGTGTTTGGTCCAGGGAAGGGCCGATGAGCAGCAACTCCCCCACGTCCACATTGTAATGTTCACTTGTACTACATACGAAGCCAGCCGCACACCAGCACAGCCTGTAAGTCCCGGCTCCACGGGCTACTTCTGATCCGAAGTCAATGCTGGCACCACTGTTGGCGACCGACACCACTTGTCCAGCATTGGGCATTCCCAAGACCGGAACGGTCGCAGCGCAGGTCTCCAAGAGAAGCCAACGGTCTCCAACACTCAAACCCGTGCCTTGTAGCCCGTCAATCGCACATTCTTGTCCAGCCACACAAGTGAAAGCAAAGCCCTTCTTGGGCCCCAGGATGTGGAGCTTGCCCAGATCGATCTGAGCCAGTCGCGCCTCCTCCTCCTGCTCAACACACGTCGCATCATCACACCAACAAAGCCGATATTCCCCACCCGCACTGGAAAGCCTTGTTTGGCCAAACGAGGCAGATGCCCCGGATGCCGAGATCGTCAAAGTACCATCCGAGGGGAGCGCTGAGATCAATGCAGTGGTACCGCAGGTCTCAAGCACCAACAAGACCGGCTGTACGAGCTTCTGTGGTTGAAGTTCACCGGAAAAGCCATCGATCTCGCATCGTTGCCCCGACACGCAGGTCCGTTCCACGGGGAAGGGAGCCCAAGGACCCACGATGCTGAAGCGCCCGAAGTCCACCAAAAAGCTCTGTGAAGACCAACAGTCGAGAGCTGAACACCAGCACATCCGATATTCTCCACCATGTGCAGTAATCGAAGTGTTCCACTCAATCTTCAAAGAAGCCAATGATGTTTCAAAGACCAAATTTGGCTGCTCCAGTGGAAAGCGCCAAGGCAAAACTCCTGTGTCCTGCAAAATCATTCAAAAGCTCGTTGCAGCATCTTGACAGCCGTTTGGGGGTTGCGCTTTAGAAATCTAATGGAATCTGATGATTTCTTTACACACTTCTTATCTCCAGCAAAACAACTTCTCCTCCCCAACGCCACAGGTATCCAAAATCATCACGGCCCCGGCAGCACCTGAAGGCTTTGTTGGGTCGAACTGCTCGCACATGGAGGAGACTGATGGACCATGTTGTTTTCTTTTGCTGAACGCCTTTTGCAAAACATCGTTTCATGACTTCCGGGTGCAATCCACTTGCTGCCTACTCTAAAAAGCATATGGAGCAGAATCCCAGATCCAAAGGCCCTCTCCTCTGAGATCCATGTCTTGATCCATTTGCGACTTGCGACTTCAACGGAGTCTCAAAGCAAAAGCAACGGCACAAGCACTGGCGCACGGACTCGCCGATCCGGTTCGATCCACCACCGAGCAGTTAGGGTTAAGACCGAGAACCAAACAGTGAGACCTCCCCAATCCCGACTTGTCAGGAACCCCAAGTGGAAAAAAAAAAGAGGGTGGGTGTGCTTGGGAGAGCACACACTAGCTCAAAACCCTTAGAACACACTGTAAATACTGTGCAAAATTTCAAAAACTGCTCTGAGAACTAGGCGAACCGCAATTTTTTGGATCTGTCTGTGCCCAGTCTCCATGTCCAATGTCAATGACAACAAATAACAGCTCTTCGTCTGCCCACTATCAATGTGCAACACCAATGATAAATATTATCATGTAAATCTCTCTCTGCCCACAATGAATGTAGCATCATGAGCGAATGAAGATATAATACTATACATCTCTAGATTCAATAGCTTTCCTCTGGATCTCTGGGAAAGTAGATTTCCTAGATTTATGTATTTTCATTGAAGGAAAGCATTTGAAAGAAACACATACATACTTATAGCTTTTTTAAAATACCATGATTATTTCCAGAGATCAAGAGGAAAGCTTTTGAAATGAAAGCTTTATATTTTTTCACAGAAGTGATCAGATCTAGAGGGAACCTTTTGAATTAGAAGTTTGTACATAAAGCAGTTTTAATATATATAGCAATGAATATTCCAAGGGATTACTTTAAACAAATACTATCTACTCAAAAACATAGTTTGTGTCTTATTCCCAGCACTCCTAGGGCAAAAAACACTGTAAAATATAGGGTTTTGTAACATGTGTGTTCTTAAACTAACTAAACTGGAATTAACATAGAATTAGGCAACCTCAAATTAGAAGATTTCAATCACGATCCTTTTAACATTGATTGTGAAATTTGCTATTTATTAGATATTAGATTGCAATAAAAATCATTTCCAAGTTCTCTTTAAAACTCATTGTGGAAACTAGTTCTTACAATTAGATTTCAGTCAAAGTCCTTTTCAAAGTTAGTGGTGGCTTTGATTTAATATCAGATTGTGTTTAAAGTCGATTTAAGATCAATTGTGGAAATTGTGATGCTTAACTAACTTGAATTGATATTGTATCTGTTTGCTCCCCACTACAAGGCTACATCAAATAAAAGGACTTTAACTAACATCTAATTATAAGAATTGATTTCCACCATTAACTATTAACTGAAAGTTAATTTTCACAATCAATTCTAAAAGGGTCTTGATTGATATCCAATACACAAGCAATTCAATCAAATTATGTTGAAAAGAACTCAAATTAAAATCTGAACAACAAGCAATGTCCACAATGATTTTGAAAAGGACATTAATTGACATTTAAGTAATGCCTAATTTCTAGAATGAAATATAATAGGATTTTAATTGAAATCTAATTCAAAATCAATTGCCACAATGATCTTGAAAAGGCATTTAATCGAAGTTGAATTACACATTCATTTTTCTATGATTAATCTTGAAGAAATGTTAATTGAAATCTAATATAAACATCAATTTCCCCAATGATTATGACAATGATATAAATGAAACTTAGTTTGTAAACAATCTACACTTAATCTTAAACACATTTTTAATAGAAAGCTAATGATAAATCAACTTCCACCAATAATTCTGAAAGCGTTTTAATTGAAGTCTAATACCAAAATCAATTGAAATCCAATTTAACATCAAATTCCACCGTTAAACTTAAATGAAGCAAAAGCACTGTGTTTTACAGTGATTTCTTGCAAAATCCTCTCCAAAATTGAGGTTTTGAGCTATTTTTTGATCAATTTTGTGAGATCCAAGCCTATCCCAATTTAGAGGGAATACCAAAAAACCAAAAAAACAATAAACCAAAAACCCAAAAAACAAAAAACCAAAAAAAACAAAAAAAACAATGTTTGAGACAAAATGGGGTCACTATTGGTTTTTGGATGTTGGCTGCATTTTGTGTCAAACATTGTTTTTTTTTTTTGGATTTTTGGTTTATTGTTTTTTTGGTTTATTGTTTTTTTGTTTTTTTGGTATTCCCTCTAAATTGGGATAGGCTTGGATCTCACAAAATTGATCAAAAAATAGTTCAAAACCTCAATTTTGGAGAGGATTTTGCAAGAAATCACTGTAAAACACAGTGTTTTTGTATCATTTTTTGCATGAAAAACATCTCCCAGGAGCACCCGTTCTGAAAAAAAAGGGGCCTCCACCCCATGTTTAAGGGTCTAAGGGACGGCAGCCGTTCCCGCAGGCCGAGCCGTGGACCCGAGCTCCGACGCGACGCGGGCCAGGGGACTGATGAAGGTCCCGGAGATGCCATCCACGCTGCAGGTCTGACCTGAGGTGTACGAAACAATCAGAAACGTTACCCCCAAGAGAAGCCACAAGGAGTACAGCTTTGGTGTTTGGTTCAATATGGTTCCAGTGTTTCAACCAAAACAATGCAAACAAAAGGGGTATACTACACATGTTACTACACATGTTTCAATTGGTGCAGGTTGCTTTCTTTCACTTTGCGCGCTGCGTTTGTTTTTCGTTTCTTGGAGCCAGGATGCCCGTCATGCAGGTTCGATCTTGCTCCAAACTTGGACCAATGAGGGTCAGCTGGCCGATGTCCATGAAATCTGAAGGCAAGAAGCACTCAAAGCCTCCAACGTTTGCACGCAAACGTGGAAAGTAAAAAAAAAGGCCATGCAAAAAGAAAAGAGATGACATCTGAAGCTGTTGCACCAAAGCCTCCAAAGCCTCCGGCACACCAACAGATTCGATATTCGCCACCTCCTGCTGTGACAATGGCGGCCAAAGCGCCACTACTGCCAAGCTGCAAACGACTGGTGCCAAGCGCGCCGGTCTGCGATGAAAGGACGGGTGTTCCTTCGCTTGGGAAGCTATTCAAGCCCGGTGTCCATGATGAGATTCCGCAGGTGTCTAAGAGAACTGCTGTGTCTTGGCTGCTCAAATATGTACCCGACACTGGGATCACACAAGTTTGACCTGAAAAGCATGTGGACGTGCCAAGCTGGTGCGGTCCGACTAAGTCTAATCTTCCCATGTCCACTTGGAAGTCCTCAGCACCACTACAGCTTTGTCCAGCTGCACACCAACAGATTCGGTAGAGACCTCCTGCAGCTGATACCCGGACGTTCCAAGAGACCGTGCTTTCACTCGTGGAGACATTCACATCGCTGATTCCTGCTCCAGGAAAGCCCGTGGGGCCCGTGGCGATGCCACAGGTGTCAAGGATGTAATAGCGATCTGCGGTCGAGAGCGTGACGCCGGACAGGGCACCAAGCAAGCACGTCTGCCCCGCAACACAGGTTCGGTCTTGCTCCAATGGCTGTGGACCGATGATTTGCACCTGTCCAACATCCATAAGGTACTGAGTGGCATCTTGACAAGTGGACACCGCAGAACACCAGCAAAGGCGATAGATGCCACCTGCTGAGGTGAGCAACTCTGCATTGAAGGAGGTCCGTGCAAATGTGATTGCCACAGCCGCATCTGGGTGAAAAACACTATCTGTGGTCAAATGACCAGAGGCGGGGCTTCTTGCAAGGGTGGAAGCTTCCCCACAGGTGTGCAAAATGACGAAGGCATCAGCTGCGTTCAAGCGCCAACCTTCAACGGAGAAGGAGCACGGTTGTCCAGAAATGCATGTACGATGCTGCCTTCCAGCCTGTGTTGGCCCAATCATTTGCAACTCCCCCATGTCAACGGCAAAATGCGAAAACTCCCTGCAAAGCCCTGAGCACCAGCAAAGCCTGTAGCTGCCACCGCTAGGTCTGGCGACATCTGAAGATGCAAAGGCTGCAAAGTCCTTCTGTGGCAATGGCTGCCACTGAGTTGTATCGAAGTGATCAATCTCTTTGTATCTGGCACTGGTCTCTAAACCGCAGGTGTCCAGCACCAAGAGACTCTGATTCGCCATGCTCAGTCCCCTAAAGCTCCCCAGGACACACTGGGCACCCACCACACAGGTCCGATCTTGCTGTAGTGGTCGGGGCCCTAAGAGGTAGAACAAGCCCAGGCTGAAAGCGCAATTCTCAGCTTGGCTGGAGCCGGTGACATTGGGACACCAACAAAGTTGATAGATTCCCCCAGCTGCAGTGCTCGCAGGGAAAGCCAGCGATAAGGTGGAGGCACCGGAAGGAAATGTCGGACTTCCCACTGACAATTGGGCCTGCAAATCTGGGAAACTTGCTTCCATTTCAGGCATACCACAGGTTTCCAGGAGCAACACACTGTCACCCTCTGAAAACCAGTGTCCATGGATCTCGCTGAGCAAACACGCCTGTCCGGCCACACATGTGAAGTGCTGTTCTTGGGAGATTGGCCCCACCACTGTAAAGCTGCCCACATCAACGTGAAACTGGGATGAGGTGGAGCAATCAAATGCACCAGAGCACCAGCAAAGCGTGTAGGTACCCCCAACCACTTCCAAAACGCCGTGGGATGCAAACGTGGACACCTCTGTCCCATTGTATCTCTCAAATTGACTCACAAAGTGTGCCACGGGCATGGATGCGTTGTCTCCGCTGTCTGCCTCCAGTGTTGTCATGCAGGAGTCCAGCACAAGGAGTTGATCCCTTGAATCCAAGTGCAAACCTTCGAAGGCAGCGACACGACAAACTTTGCCACTGAGACAAGTCCGATCCTGATGCAAATCGCTTGGACCGATGATTTCAAGTGTTCCAACATCTGTTGTGAATTCCTGCTCGCTCTGACAATGTTCTTCCGTCGCACACCAGCACAAGCGATACAAGCCTCCAGCTGCAGAGACTGCAATGTCACCAAGCGTATAAAAGGACGCCTCCTCTTGTGTTCGCCGGTCAAAGACTCCCGGGCACTGGTCATGGCAGTCGGGAACTCCATCATTGTCTGCATCCGTGTCCGACACGCCGCAGCCACAAAAGCCCGGAAGAGTTTTGCTGGCATCACTGGGACACTGATCCATGCAATCTGCAACGGAGTCAGAGTCTGTGTCAGTGTCTGCCACTCCACATCCACACTGTCCTGGTGATGTCTTTGCTGCATCCAAAGGACATGCGTCCACACAATCCATCTGCCCATCCAGGTCAGTGTCTGTTTCAGCTACTCCACATCCACAAACACCTGCCGCCACTTTGTTGAAGTCGTTGGGACACGCATCAAAGCAATTCGAGACTCCATCACCATCATCGTCCGCTGTTGCGGCGGTGCAACCGCACACCGGTGGTGTTTGATCTGGAAAGCTGGGACATTGGTCATAGCAGTCGGGGGTTCCATCTGAATCACTGTCGGCACTGTCCGAAGTACCACAACCACACAAACCAGGTGTCGTCTTGGATGCATCGTTGGGGCACAGATCGATGCAATCCGGTGAACCATCCAAATCTGTATCGACATCACTGGTGCCACAGCCACAGTGACCTGGAGATACGTCCTTGGACGCATCGGATGGGCAAGCGTCCAAGCAGTCGGGTGTGCCGTCACCATCTGAATCGATCTCATCGATGCCACATCCACAAAGACCAGTGAGATTGTGATTCACGTCAAAAGGGCATTCATCCAAGTAGTTGGCAATACCATCCAAATCCGCATCTTGCGCAGCTGCACCACATCCTGCTGCAGTTCGGGGTTCTTTGGCCGTAAAGACTCCAGTGTTGGGCAAGCGTCCCAGTGTGCCTCCTGTACTTCCGCTTCCACATGTGTCTAAGATCCGCAGAATACCCAGTCCAAGCTCACCGTAGGAAGAGAAGCCCTCAAAATGACATGGCTGTCCTGCAACACAGGTGCGATGTTGCTGCAAAGGTGTTGGACCAAGCAAGCTTAAGGATCCAATGTCCAAGGCAAAGTCTTCAAAGCTGCTGCAACTCATTCCCGTTGCACACCAACAAATCCGGTACTGGCCTGCTCTCATGGGATTCTGAAACTCATAGGATGCTCCACTTGAGCCTGCCATGGAGAGCACTGTCCAAGGAAATGGTTGGGCTGACAAATCATTCATGCAAGTATCCATCACAGCCACCATGTCATACTCTGCCAAGCTTTGTCCAATCGTATCCAGCTGGCACGCCTGACCATTGATGCAAGTCCAGCTCTGCTGTAAGGATGGGCCAACAAGCCAAAAGCGTCCGACATCCATACGAAATTGAGAAGGTTGGCTGCAATCCTGATTGAAACCACACCAACAGAGTCTGTATTCACCACCTCCAGCTGTGATTTTGGCTGGGCCAAATCCCAACGCAAAGGTGTCATTGAAGCTCGATGAGAGCGAGCCACCTTCTGGCAAACCTTCCACAAATGCGTGCGTGCCACACGTATTGAGCACCGTCACATGATCACTCACGTGCAAACCGGTGCCCAGAAGCTCGTCCACTCGGCAGGTTTGGCCAGCTACACAGGTGCGATCTTGCTCCAAGGTGGGTCCATCGATCTCCAAAGATCCAAAGTCCACAAAGCCCTGCACTCGGTCACAGCTGAATCCTGCTGCGCACCAACATAAACGAAATTCTCCTCCTGCAGCAGTGACTGGGACACTAAACTGTACGGCCAGGCCTTCATTGGCGATATCCGACTGACCAGGGCATGCGTCATAGCAGTCCGGAATGCCATCACCATCACTATCAGTGTCTGGCACATTACATCCACACAGACCTGCTAGACTCTTGCTGGCGTCACTGGGGCATTGATCCACGCAGTCCAAAACACCATCGCCATCCGTGTCCGTGACATCACAACCACAAGGACCCAGCTGTGTAATGGGAGAATGTGGGCACATGTCCAAGCAATCTGGCATGCCATCACCATCCGAGTCCGTGTCCACGACGCCACATCCACAGGCGCCCACGAAGACCTTGTTGAAGTCATTGGGACATTGATCGATGCAATCGGGGACTCCATCCAGGTCTGTATCCACGTCTGAGAGCCTCGGAGAAGTGGGGGACACCGGTCGCTTTTGGTTGGTGAGGTACCTCGTGGCCGGTACTGAGGGCTTCCCTCACCACGCCCACGTGTTCTCTCACGTTGGAAGGAAAAGGGGTGCCCAAAGAAGATCATGTTCAGGCACCGATTGGACTGTTCTCGGACAGAAGGACTTCATTTCAACATTCTGGACACTTAAGACAGAAGACACGATAGATGTGCGTGCAGAAAACAAGAAGTAAGCGCATTTCCTTGGTCGCTGTTTTCCGCTTTTCTATGCTGTGTTTCAGCGTTCTCTTGCATGAAGACTGCTCGGTTTGTCTCGGTCAAAGCGTGAGAAACTCTGCGACTGGACTGCCTTGAAACTGTCGACCTAAGAGTGGGGCCAATTCCGGGGGTATGCTTCTTTTGTTCGGTCAAATCTGAACATGGTGCGGCTTGGCAAAAGCACCGCAGCTCTACGCAGTCGACCGTCTTTCCGCCATGGCACCCACATCCGCAGGAGCCCAGTAAGGTCTTGGTCGCATCGCTGGGACACTGGTCCAGGCAGTCGGCGACCCCATCCAAATCGGAATCGATTTCAGTGAAGCCTCCGTTGCAACCCACAGGGTGAAAAAGCGGTTTTTGCGTTACTCTTGAACGGGAAAACACATGCAAAAACCAAGCAAAGAATCTGCAACATCGTCTTGCTTTGCGTGTTGCGATCCAGAGTGTCAAGTGCGTTCAACGCAGTGAAAACACAGCGAAAACAGCCCAATGCATGTTCGTATGTTCGTTGGCAAAACGAGAAGTGATTCAAGGGTCACGCGGAAGCACACCGAGGTAGCTTGTCCAAATCAGTGCATTCAGGACAATACATGACAAACAGGTACATACCGTGCATATCTTAATCAGTTGTCTTGGGATCTCGCCAAAGAAACAGCCGTGCTGTTCCCAGGCCTGTATTGATGGTCATCGTTGCACTCGGGGTACCATCAGAATCCACCACCTGACAACCACATTGTCCTGGACTCGTTCTTGATGGGTCCTGTACGCGCAATCTCTCCGGTCACAGAGTGTAATAAAATCTGTGCCACAAGATCCCATGAAAGTCAGTAAAGAATACAGTCACAAGAAGCTACTAATAACAAAGGGCATCGCTACGAACGGAGCAAGAAGCTACTACTAAAGCACTTTTTGCAAGGCACGTATGGGCAAAAATCTTCATAGTCCAACGTGCCATCATCATCCGAGTCGAGCCCGGCGATGAAGCCACAGGGGATGGACCCGGGTCCAAGGGAGTCGGTCATCCAAGGACAGTTGTCGTTGCAATCCTTGGGAACGAAGGCCGGATGCGTCCGCACGTAAGCGAACACGAATGCGTCCGCACGGAACAAGGCCGGTGGCCGCTATTAGGTTGGAGGGCATCGCTACTAGTAGCTTCTGGCATTACTACTCGGAACAAGAAGCTACTAGGAACTTGGGAAAGAGTATAAACAAGACATATTCCCCAGAAGCGGATTTACCCATAGACCGGGAAAAGAACCAATGAAGTACGAAAGCCCGCACAAAACCAGGAATCGGGGGTGCCATCGGAATCGGTGTCCAACTCCGACTGTCCACAACCACAAATGCCCACGCGAGTCTTCAAGGGATCCAGTGGACATTGATCAATGCAATCGGGTGTACCGTCACCGTCCGAATCATCGTCCAGCTCACCACATCCGCAGGTGCCCAAGTACCTCGACATGCTGAAGAGACCAAGTGCGCAATGCTTGATTTCTGCGTTTCGTCTCTCGCTGATTCATTCGATGCACAAGACTTTTGGCTGATTCATTTTGGCCGATAGATGATTCATTCCTTCCATTTGCACAAGACCTTTTCAAGCTCAGTTACATCTTCAAAGGGTCTTTCGGACATTGATCTATACAGTCGGGTGCTCCGTCACCATCGGTATCTGTGTCCACAAGCCCACAGCCACAAGCACTGCCAAGGCCGGACAACAAGCAGTTGCTATTGGTCTCATAGTGTGTTCCTGCAAGTGGACTTCCGCTTGAAGAGTTCCCCACAGCTGGCTCTGCAAAGACTTGGACGTTGCAAAGGGTTAATTCTGCAGTGAAGGGCAAAACAAGCCAAACTAGCTGTCCTGAAACGATTCACAGGTTTAAAGAAATAGAGAGCAAACCAAGAGGACAATCCGGCAACATCTTGAAATCAGTAACTCCAGCTTGAAACAGCCCCTCCAGTCACTTTGTCTGGAACTTATCGTCTACGACCGTCTACCTGTTTTCAGAGGAATCCTATTGTTGGCCTTTCTTTCTTGCTAGTAGTAACAGGTGCCACGCTAGTAGTAACAGGTGCCTTACTAGTAGTAACAAGGTTCGCTGGTAGAAACAAGTGCCTTTCTTTCGTAAAAAACGCGCTCCTATTGCTGTTCATGCAAAGTCTTGGCTCTCCACCATCTCAAGGTTTCACCGGTTTTCACCTTTCATCGCAATGGCCTCGTTTCCTTAAAAAGACGATGGCCCCTAACCTAGTATGTGTAACCCAATGTGGATGTTCATCTTGCCACACCAACAGAGGTTGAAAGACCCGAACGTTCGGCTATCCCAGTTCGGTACCCCAGGTTACGTGTCCTAGTTCAGGTCACTTAACCTCTGTTGGCAGCTGCTCACTGTGCTGTCCTTCACCTTGGCAAGACATGTCGATGACCGGGGCTTCTTCCCCCACGGCGGGCAACGCTGGCTGAAGCGTGACGACCCCACAGCGCGTGCCATCCGTGAAGCTTGTGGCACCTGGTGACGCGAGGAGAATACAAACCGGTTGAGAAAAGAGAAGTCTGAGGTCTTTTAACTTGTCTTTGATTGTTCTATTGGAGCCAAAGAGAAATCTGAAAGGAAGGTCCAACAAAAGAGAGAGGAAACAAGCAGCAACCATGAATTCTAGTTACCTAGGCGCGCGGTTTAGCGCTTATTCTGACTCCCTGACAAGCTCTTTGAATTGCGTTTGTTAAGGTTCCCTAAAAATCCAGGAACCAATTGATTATGTGCGAGCGTGAGCTATCCTGCATCCTAGGTAGTAGTGTCCTAAGCTACGAAGAAGCTGATTCCCTTACTCAATCTAAGCCAATCTAAGCAGTCTTAGGGTTTTTTTGGGGGGGGCACAGGCAGAGCCGACTCGGCTCAACAAGAAAGATCCGAAAAAACCACGGCCGAATCCCCTCCAGCATCGCTCCGAGGAGCTGATGGAACTGGTCCAAAGTTCCAATCCCACCAGGCTGCTGTCGCAGCAATCGCTCCGCGGCGTCACACGCACCGTGGAGACTTGGAAGGTGAAGCCCAAATCGACGTACCACCAGGGTGAGCTCTCCGTATTCGTCCAGGTACAACTGCCTTGGTAGAAGTTCGCACTTATGGAGGCATCCACAGCCAAGTGGGAGCTTCGCAAGGACTGCGTGGAAGACTGATGTGTGACTTTGTTGCTCATCACCAGCCATTCAGGTCCAGGGCAGATTCCGGGACGGTACTTGTTGGGGTCGCTGGGACAGAGGTCCAGGCAGCCTGGAATTCCATCAAGGTCCGCATCCACTTCAGCCACATTGCATCCACAAACTCCTGCCCCCCCAAAAAACAGCTGCAGTCTTGGACAGAACAACACTGAACAGGACCATAACACCGAACACGAGAACACACCACTTTTTTTTTGTGCATCAAACGCGTCTCGCACCACTCTTTCCGTTTGTTGGTAACGGTGATTGAACATGTGATGATCGACGTGTGTGTTTTCGCACCGTGTGTACACGCGACGTGTTTCTGCACCAGGTCCTCCAGTTCCGGACTTACTGGGATCTGAAGGACATTGGTCTAAGCAGTCGGGGATGCCATCGAAATCCGAATCCACGTCGTCCACACCACAGCCACAAGCTCCAGCGGTGGTGCTATTGGGATCGAAGGGGCAGGCATCCAAGCAGTCTTTCACACCATCCAGGTCGGAATCACCGTTGCTGGCAGCACATTGACACTGCAAGATCACATCCATGCGACCAGCATTGGGAAAGCGTGGCACAGATCGTTCAACTCCACAGGTGTCGAGAACCACCAAGCTATCGCCGGGAGACAAATGATTGCCTTTGATCTGCTCCAAGACGCAGAGCTGGCCACTCACGCAGGTTCCAGTCTGCTTTTGGCTCGGTCCAATCATACTCAAGCTGCCAACATCCACTCCGACGTCCTCGATGCAGAACTGACCACTGCACCAGCAAAGTCGGAATTGACCTCCTGATGCTATAGGCTCTGCAGTTGAGACTGACAGAGATTCTCCAACCAGAGTCACAAGAAGAGGAGGTAGAATTGATGGTACTCCACAGGTGGCAGTGATCAGGACTTCATCAGTAGCATGCAAATAGTGTCCAGAAATCTCAAAGGAACATGCCTGTCCACTTACACAGGTCCGGTCCTGCTCCGAATTGGCACCAATGACCGAAAACGTGCCAACATCCAGTTGCATTTCATCTGGATGTTCACAAATGCCATCAGCACACCAACACAAACGGTATTCCCCCGCTTCGAGTGCTTCGCCCGCCTCCAGCACCAAGCGATTGGGCATCCAGTGCTCGGACGCGTTGCTTCGCGTGAAGCTGCCAAGCCACTGCCGTTCGGACACCGAGCCGTTTCCCGAGCCGGTCCAGCCGGATCCACAGGTGTCCAGCACATGCAACGAGCCGTTCACGTAGATGTCTTCAATCAGGCACGCTCGTCCCGCTACGCAGGTTCGATCCTGTGTGGTGATGGAGATGCTGAGATTGGCGACGCCCGTCACATTCAAAGGCCAAACTGTTGTGAGATCAACTTCAGAGCCTCGGTGTGAGATGTCCGTCGCCAGCTGATTACTAGGCTTTTGGTGCCCCCCAAAACACCGCACGAAAAGCAACCCCCAAAAAAGGTGGTCTAGAGTCTGAACCAGTTCTTCTTTCCCCAAAACACCAAAAATAAAGAACATGTCCCCGTCCAGGTGCTCATGTTCTCCGCTGGCACTATGACGTAGACTTCTCCGAAATCGGTTCGGAATTCACGAGCATCCAAACACCCTTCGCTGGAATTCACGTCGAGGACCACAGCAGCACACCAGCAAAGCCTGTATGTCCCGCCTGGAGCATGTCACAAAAACTACGAACAAAAAGGGACACGAACGAGATCCTGAGGTGAACGAACGCTGTTTCATCTGGGAAATGAAACAAAAAGCCCACGCAATTTTGCGGATGCCCACGAGAAAACGGATGCAATGTTTGTCGCTGGCACATAGTATGCTTTCACCCAAATGATGTGGCTCATGCTTTTTCTGCTGGTGTGGATATCATTTCATCGCTCTTTTTCGTTCTGTTCTTGCAATGAAGAAGTTGCTGAAACGTGGTGAGGAAGACTCCTAACGGCTGATGTGCTCCGAAGGGAGTGCCAAAAAAGACATGGGATCAAGGGTCTTTCTCTTCTTCACAGCAAGGCTTTGAGAAAACGAACACACCGAGTCGTGTTGGTGCCGCATTTACAAAGATCACTGATTTACAAAGAACGAAAGCATTTTTCATTGTGTGTTTCCATTGTGGTTATGGTGCCGCGCTCAACCTGCTTTCTATCACCCCATCAATGTCCAAACGGTCATTACCTGTGCTTGTTGGGAAAAACGAGTCCGTGATGTAACACAAATACATCGGACCGGCGTCTGAGACCAAATCACCGGACCGAGATCACGAAAACAAGAGCACGAAAAGCGCAAAAGTCCTTGCTAAAGCACAGCACGTTACCAGCTAGCAAGAGCTACAGCTAGCAGCTCATATGAGACTGAAGGCAAACCGCTTTCTTTTTGGTGTACTTGATGACTCTTCTATTGAATCTTAAGAACTTTTTCTTTTCTTCAGATTCTGTCGATCTACTTCTGCCTTTGGTAGCGGGTCTACTCTCTCCGATCCCACCGGAATCTCCGATGGGGCCACAGGTCCCGCCTGGAGCCGTGATCGAGGTCTCGACCTCGACCTCCGAGACATTGGTGTTTCCAATGGGCACACCACAGGTGTCGAGGAACAGAACTTGAGCGGATCCGTCTGAAGCGGATCCTCGTGTGAAGTTGGCTTCAAAGACCACAGGTGCTGTTAACAAAGAACCCTCACCTTGGACTTGAAGGCGGCAGCTTTGTCCACTCACACAAGTCAGTCGCTGATCCCAGGGTGCTGGGCCTAGGATGTTGAGGCTTCCCACATCCGTGTGGAAGTGCGACCAACGACTGCAATCCGTCGCATTGCTGAAGTTATAGAAACTTGGATCGATATTGACCTGGCCGAACGGTCATGGGACCAAAACACCCTGGTTGACCACCCAAACTGAACAGACTAGATTACAAGGGAGGTCAACCTTTGAGGGTTTGGGGCTTTAGGTTTTTGACCCATCCCCACCTCTGGCATGCACCAACATACACGGTATTGCCCGCCAGGTGCCGTCATGACTGATCGATTCCACTGGGCGGTGCTGATGGATTCCACCACGCTTTGAGCAAACTCATTTCCACAACTGGACAGAAGAGCAATTAAGGAATCGCCGATGTGGTACCCCGTCAACTCTGGGCTGAAACATGTTGAACCGCTGATGCAGGTGCGATCTTGATCCAAAGGCCATGGCCCCAGCAAATCCAAAGAACCCATCTCAAGGCGAAAATCCTCCGGGCGAGCACATGGGAAATCGGCCGAGCACCAACAAAGCTTGTAACGTCCTCCGGGGCCTGAAATTGGAAGACTTCCCCAACTCACTGTGCCAGTCTCCACGCTCACCGTTTGACCTGCTAAGGGTACACAGTCGGGGACTGACGTGGTGCCACAAGTGCTCAGAAGCTGAATGGAGTCATTGACTCTGAGACCCTCACCAACAACGCCGCGAAACGTGCAAGGCCTTCCACTGATACATGTGGCAGCATACTGTAGAGGTGCTGGACCAAGCAAAGACACTCGTCCCAAGTCTGCAATAAAGCTTTCCACAGAGTTGCATGTACCACGGCACCAACACAAGCGATACTGCCCACCTTCAGCTTGCACAACGTCCCACTGGGCAACTGTACCACTTGCAGTCGTCATTGCTGCTTCTAGAGGCCACCCTTCAACGAGATCTGAGCTGCCACATGTGTTTAGAACGATGATGTGGTCACTGTCTGATGGCGATTCCAATTGCAAACTCTTCACCAAACAAGTTTGTCCAGCCACGCACGTTCGGTCAACAGACATCTCCGGCCCAATGAGAAGAAAGGAGCCAATGTCGACCAAATGGTCAGAGGGTGAGATGCAATCAGAATTGCCCCCGCACCAGCATAGCCTGTACCTGTTCGGCCGGTGTGCACATGAACATGTCAAACCCAACGACATCGCCCCGCAAGCCATGGCTAGCCATGGCTGATTTCTGCAGAAACAGTAGATTCATGTCGATTCACAACACAAATAACGTGGACTCTTGATTCATAACCTCCTCCAATTCTAATTGACAAACCTCTACATTAAGGACCAACGGACACGTTCGACGGACCCACTTGAGGCCTGCCGCCGACCGCGGAAATGGCGGTGCCCCAGCTCACTTGCAAAGTGTTGCCTTTGCTCGAGGTGTCCTCAGCTATCAACGAAAAGTGACGTCGTCCGTATTTTGTGACGTTTCAAATGACTTCAACATCGCCCTCTTCCTTCACCTCCATATTCTATGCAGGAGCTGTCTTCAAGTTAAGTATTTTGTGAGGATGGCATCTTTGAGAAAGATCTGATCATTGCAAAGGTCCATCCACTTTTAGTACTTGAAGTGCTGTCATGTCGAGGCAAAATGAGGTCGGATGGCTAGGTTGTCATACCCTGCATTTGAAGCTTGCTCTTCCTTCACTTTTCCATTGCACATCTTTCTTGAGGATTGAGAAACTCTCAGAGAATCGAAGACTTTCTCGGCATTTTTCTTGTGCAGTTGATGGATGAAGAGGATTTCTGCGTGTGGATATTGTCACTTTGCACAGCTTTATCCTACTGAAAGACCTGGACCACAACGCGTTGGGGCACCCGGACCGTTGGGGGGTCGTTTCGGGCGCCACGATGTTTCGTGATTTTGGGTGCTTTGGATTAAAGTACCATACAGGATGAGCTGTTGGGCAAATGACTTCGGATTTCCACGCCAAATCTTCCAACCGAAGACCCTGACGCGTGGGACCTCCAAAGAAGGACGGCCGCCCGTCGACCCTGCCGAGGCGCGATTGATGGGCTACCCGTGGCGCCCAGACCGAGAGCCAGCACCGAGCTGCGAGGCATTCCGTTGAGCCAGGACTGGCCACAGGAGTCGAGGACCAAGAAGGAATCTGCAGCGGTCAAGCCCAAGCCCTCGATGTCGACGCTGCAAGTCTGACCTGATACACAGGTTCGATCTTGAGAGATGCTCTGGAGGAAGAAGATCTCGTAAGTGGAGGCATCACTCGAAACGAAGTTCCAGCAATAGCTCAAGAATCTACAGCTACTGGTGCTGTCATCGAAGCGAAGAGCCACCACGGAAGGATCGCCGTAGGATTGTCTTCCGAGGTTGAAACACTGCGCTTTGCTGATCGTTTGATGACTATGCTCTTTCTGCCCGTGACAAAAGCCTCGTAGCCAACCTCCGGAATGCGTCCTTGGACCCAAGAGGTAGAGTGCACCAACATCCGCTCGAAAGCTTAGGCTACTCTCACAATCAAATCCTGCTGCACACCAACACAAGCGGTAGACTCCACCGGCTGCTGAAAGGGGCTCCGGAGCTGACGAGACTGTGATAGACTCCCCAATGTCAGTGAGATTCCCGCTGGCATTCTCCATTTTGAGCGCTGAAGACACTCCCCATGGAAGGAATGAGCTTCCACAGGTGTCCAGAATCAAGAACCTCTCATCGGACTGAAAGCCGATCCCGGCGATTCCAACGGAACACCTCTGCCCCGAGACGCACGTCCGATCCTGAGGGCTCCGTGGACCACGAAGCGTCACGGTGCCAGCTGAGACCTGAAAGTCTTCCGGCAAGGAACAGGAGGAATGTCCTGAACACCAACAAAGCTCATAGATTCCAGCACTTGGAACCATCATCGGATCCCTCCAAGCCACTCCCAGTGGCCCTGCTCCTGCTTCATCGCTTTGGTTCATCAGGGTCACGTTGTATTCGGGGAGGGAGTGCAAAGTCGCAGAAGCTCCCAAAACAAAGCCGGTCAATCCGCAGGTGTCCAGGATCAAGAAGCGATCCTCCAGCTTCAATCCTGTACCACTGATGCCAAAGACTGCACAGCTTTGTCCAAAGACACAGGTGAAGCCCTGCTTGGAATACTCAGGTCCAAGGAGCGACAAAGACCCGAAAGGAGCTGTAAAGGCCAGGCTATTCGAACAGGATCCAACCAGTGAAGCATTCCCGTTTGGTGCCACCAAGGCACCTTGCGAGAAGTTGCTGTTGAACGTTTCCCCTGAGCACCAGCATAACTGATAGGTGCCACCCTGTAGGGTCAACCTAGCCCATCGGGCATCCCGCGTGAGGTCCGTGACTTCCGCGGCATCTTGGACATGTTGGGGAAACGCTTGAGGTGTGCCACAGGAGTCCAAGAGCAGAACCGAACCAACGCTTCCGACCTCGAGCCGAAGTCCATCGATCCGACATGCTTGCCCGCTGATGCAGGTCCGCCTCGTGCCCTCCAGACCAAGACCAAAGGATGGGCCCAGCAACGTCAATTCACCCAGGTCAACCACAAATTCTTCGCCCATCTGGCAGACTCCCGATGTTCCGCACCAGCAAAGCCGATATTGACCACCAGGCAGGTCCAGGAGTGTCCAGGAGAAGGAGGTCCCACCCGCCGCGGCCGGCGCGAGCCCAGCAGCGTCGGAGAAGTCGCCCGTGGCACCACACGTGTCCTTAAAAGGTCACTGGTGCGATGCCCGGGCTCCTAGTAGGCCAGGGGCTCCTAGTAGCATCCTTGCTCCTAGTAGCGAGGCCAGGAGCCCTTAGTAGCGAACATAGCTCCTAGTAGTAAGGCCAGGGGTCTAGTAGCGTCCTTGGGACAGTGAAATACGAGACTTAAGAAGGAATTTGTAGCCTTCTTGCGCTAGAGAAAGGGATGAAAAAGGTAGGAATGAAGCCAAGATATTCCAAGCGTCCAAAATCCAAATCCTGTCACCAGCTCCCAAACCTTCACCCAGAACTCCATCCACCATGCAGCTCCGACCACTGACACATGTTCGATGTTGTGAAAGGGGGCTTGGCCCCAGTAGCACTAAGCTTCCTGCATCTGTTCGAAATGATTCGGAGAAGCTGCAGCCCTGAGCACCGGCACACCAACAAATGCGGTACTCTCCACCAGCCGCACTGCTTCGAGCTTCCCAATGTCCAATGCCCGAGGAGTTGAAGAAGTTGGAAGATGTGAAGACCATCCTGCCTGCCCGGTCCATCCTATCCACCAAAGCATTCTGAAGACCACATGTGTCTAAGATCATGTATGAGTCATCTTCCGTGAGGCCATTTCCCAGCAGGTTGCCAATCGTACAAACCTGCCCGCTGACGCATGTTCGTGTCTGAAATGCCGGTTGAGGGGGAAAGAGAAGTAGAGTGTCCTCTGAATCGCTAGCGATCAAAGCACAAGTTTCCATGATTTGGCATTCCCCTTGACTCGGGCCACGATCTGCATACCAGCCCACCAAGCACTCATTTCGCAGTTGCTCGCAGCGCGCATGGCAAGACTCCTGGCTGGTCCAGTTGGTTTCAAGCACGATGGGTTCAGGATAGTCTGGTCTGCTGCCACAATGCCCTCGTTGAACCAAAGTCCATCGAATGCCAGGGCCAAGGACGTCCAACTGTCCAACATCCACGAACGAATCTCGACAAGTGGAAGCGGAGTCCGTCCAATTACCTCTTGAACACCAGCACAAACGGTAGACTCCTCCAGGGGATGTGATGGAGTTCCATGAAACGCGTGCGGTGCTCCAAAGGCCGCCGTCTTGGTGAGCTGAGAGATGGACGGAAGGAGCTGGTGGAAAGCCCGGTGTTCCGGACACTCCGCAGGTGTCAAAGACCTGCCAAAGATCCCACTCTGAGAGGTGCAAGCCAAGCAAATCCACCTCACAAGCCTGTCCACTCATGCACGTGCGATCCTGTGTACCAGCCACACCAATCATTTCCAGGTGACCCACATCGAAGAAGTCCAAGAAGCTTTCGCAGCGAAACTTCGAGATGTTTCCTGTCTGGTTGGTAAAGTCGCTGAAGCTAGTTGGACACCAACACAGCCTGTAGTTGCCACCGGGCAATCTGAGTCTGGCAGAATCTCCCGACACTCCCAGCCTGCTATCAACTGCTAGCTGCCCTCCCGCACCACAGGTGTCCAGGATCATAAAAGAATCGCTGTCCCCGTATATTCTGCTGGCAATTTTGCATTCTCGTCCACTGATGCAAGTGAAGCTTTGCAAAGGTGTGGGACCCAGCACCAGAAGCTCTCCAACATCAACCGCGAAGTCCGTCGAAACACTGCAAGAGTTGTTGCTGTCGATGTCCATAGTGCCATTTGCTGTCAAACGTGAACACCAACAAAGGCGGTACTCACCGCCCCAAATAGGAACTTGATTCGCATCCCAGTACCATGCATAGCCCATGGAAGCTGCCAGTGCCTGTGTGCCCAGCCCGTCCTGCCATGATCGAAGACCAGTGTGACTGACGAACGTCTCGTTCAATGAGTGGTCGGTGCAGGTGTCCAAAATCAGCAGCATGTCTCCATTCGTCAAGCCAAAACCTGTGATGCCATCAATGAGACAGCTTCGGCCAGTGACACAGGTCCGAGTCTGTTGAACATCCACACCGATCACTTGCAGAACTCCAACGTCTGCGAGAAAGCTCGTGGGGGACACACAGCTGGAGTAACCGAAGTGGGCTGAAGTGTTTCCGGGTGTTGTAACCTCTGTACACCAGCAAAGTCGATATTGACCACCAGCAGCTGTGACTGCGATGCTTCCCCAACTCACTGCTGTTCCACTGGCAGTGATAGAACTTGCATGACCACCAGAGCTAAATCCAGAGACGGCAGCAGCGACTCCACATGTGTCTTGGACGAGATAGGCATCGTTGTTGTTCAAACCAAGACCAATCACGGAGTCGATGGAACAGGTCCGGCCACTGATGCAAGTATAGTCATGTCCTGTAGCTGGACCCACCAAATACAAGGTCCCCACATCCACTCGGAAGTCTGGCCGAAGACATGAGCTGCGATTGTAGAAAGAGACGTTGAATGGAGACGGCGTGTTACTTGCAAGCACCTGCCAGGAAGAAGGCGAAAGTGGAAGCCATCGCTAGTAGGGTACTAGGTTGGAGGCCATCGCTACTAGGTTGGAGGCCATCGCTCTTAGGTTGGAGGCCATCGCTACTAGGTTGGAGGCCATTGCCCTTAGGTTGGAGGCCATCGCTCTTAGGTTGGAGGCCATTGCTATTAGAAACAAAGAAAAAAGAAAAAGGAAGAAAGGTCCAATAGAGTTTGCACCTGCCAGGAAGAAGGCGAGAGTGTGTTGTTGTCAGCCACTGTGCCGCTTGTCTCAAGCAGCTCAGCACACCAACATAGCCTGTATTCACCGCCTTGCAAGGTCAAACTGAATTCCCAAAGAGCATCTACACCAGGAACTGAGCGAGCAAGAGCCCAAGCACTGCTCAGCGAGCCGAGGCCAAGATTTGAGTTACAGGTGTCCATGATAAGGAACTCAGCTTTTTGGGATTCAATGTGCACTCCCTGCACATGTGAGACTTTACATGGCTTTCCCCGGAAGCAAGTGAAGGTCTGCTCTGGCAAAACGCCTTCCAACAGTAGCTCACCAGTGTCAACTCGGAAATCCTCGAAAGTGCTGCAAGAGAATCCTTGTGCACACCAACAAATCCGATAGATGCCTCCACTGGAAGACACAGCGGTGTCCCAAGAGACTTCGGTGCCCCAAGTGCCAGAAGCACTCTGTAAGAATGCGGCCGGGGATTGAGGAACGTGGCTGGCCAGACCACAGGTGTCCAAAATCAAATATCGGTCGCCCAGCTGCAAGTCTCGGCCATGGAATCCAGTCAGGTGGCAGGGCCAGCCAACAACACATGTGCGGACATGCTTCAAATCAGGACCGACGATGTGCAAATGCCCCAGATCCACCACAAACTGGTCGGCTCTTTGACAAAAACTTTCATATTCACCGGTGGCATTAGATTCATATTCACCGGACGAGCGCGATGAACACCAGCAAAGCCTAAAGTCTCCTCCAGGCATCGTTAGAGGAAGATTGCCCCACGAGAACGCAAATGGTTCCACTTCGAAAGCAGGAATCGGTGGAAGCTGTTTGGTGCTGGGTGAATGGCCACAGGAATCAAGCACAAGCAGTGAATCTCTGGACATCTCTGTGTACTCCGTGTACCCTGCCGCGTAGCTCACTCCTTTGAGGACACATGTCTGACCACTGACGCAGGTAAAGGCTTGAGAGGCCTGGGGTCCAATGAGATGAAGCTTTCCGAAGTCCACATCGAAGTCCGCAGGGGTCAAACAACCCAAAGGAACCAATCCACTCTGAAGAATGGGAAGACTTAGACCCTCCGTCGAGCGATCTGCACACCAACAAAGCCGATATTCCCCACCATTGGCAGAGACACTTGGCCAAGCAAAGGAAGATCGATTGGACATGCCCGTGGCGATTCCTGCATCATGAAGCCCTGGCACATACAGTGAGACACCACATGTGTCCAGAATCAACGCTTTGTCGCCCGAAGTCAACCCAAGACCCAGAATCCCATCAATGAAGCAGCTTCTGCCGCTGATGCACGTCCGATCTTGCTCCAACAATGGACCCAAGACGAAGACGGCTCCGGTATCGGTGGACCCTCCACCCGCAGCCGAGATATCCTCACAACTGGCTCGTCCGCACCAGCAAAGTCGATATTGCCCACCGAGACGGGGCACTGCCTCCACTAGAAATGGTGGCGATGACATGTTAGTCCCATTCCCCACCGGACTGAAGCGACTCGGAGTTCGCATGGCTTCGCCGCAGGTATCCAGAATTGAGAAGTGGCCCTCTGTGTATCCAGACAAATGCCAAATCCGACAAGCACGGCCGGTCACACACGTGAAGGCTCCAGTGGTCACAGGCCCTAACATGTGAAGTGCTCCGAAGTCCGTTTGGAAGTCAGTGGCCAACGTGCAGTCAGTGCGATTGGAATGACTTTCCGTTGCATTGGGCCAAGCTGGGCCATCCTTCCCACACCAGCAAAGCCGATAAGTTCCACCTGCAAGGACATGGGCATCAATCGTGAGACGACCATTTGTGCCCATGGACAGGGAGGCAAACTTGCCATGAATGCTTGGGTGAGCACAAGTGTCCAGCACCATCACTGCGTCGTCACTCCAGTCCAAGAATCCCGTCATGTCAATTTTGCAGAGCTGGTCGCTAATGCACGTTTGATCTTGAAGAAGAGGTGAGGGTCCACGTAAGAAGAGGTTTCCCACGGTCCACAGATGCATTTCAGCCCGGCCCCTGCAGTCCGATTCAGAGGTGTTCACTGCGAATCGGTCACGGTCACTACACCAACAAAGCTTGTAGGATCCCCCAGCAAAGGTGTGTGAGACACTGCCCCATTTCACCACAGCTCCGCTGGACACCACGCTGACATCTTGGCCCGCATTCGCCATGGACTCCAGGATTTGGCTACTTCCACAGGTGTCTTGGATTAAATAGCTATCTGAATCCAGCAATGCTTCACCTAGAAGACCTTCCACCCAGCAGGTTCTTCCACTAATGCAGGTTCGATCCTGGCTCGAGGACCATGGCCCTTGCAACACCAGTTCACCAGCGTCCACTTGCAAATCTTCAACACTGGAGCATTGATGGCTACCGCACCAGCAAAGTCTGTAACGACCTCCACCTGCCATTGGCAAGCTGTTCTCCAGAAGCAAGGTGTTGACTCGCTCACCGCCACCCAGCTCGGCACCGCCGATCGGCTCCATCGCCGGCCATTGTCTCTGCACCGAGAAGACCAATGCGCCGGAGAGACCCAAAAGACCACAGGTCTCCAGGGCCCAAACGGTGTCGTTCTGTGAGAGATGGACACCTTGAAGCATCGACTCACATGGACGACCGATCACACAGGTGGACGAGTAGTCGGATGTGGATGGGCCAATGAGGGTCAAAGTTCCAAGGTCTTCACTGAAGTCCTGGCAGAAACCGAGAGCATCGTTCAACTCAACATGTTCACCATGGGCGTTAGAATGAGATGAGGCCTTTTTTGGCCTTTTTTGGTCAATGAGAAACCTGGTGTCAACACTGAAGTGGCGTTTGAGGTGCACCCCCTCACTGAAGTGCAACAGATGATCAAGTGATCGAAGTGCCCAAAGGATCCGAAAAGACACGATCCGAACACCGGATCCAAGAAAGTCATAACAACCTGAACGAAACGGAGTTCTTTTCTTGAATGAAACGGATGTCTGTAAAGACTTCCCAACAAAGACCTGAGATCAGTTCCTGCTCCTTTTCTTGGTTTCTTCTTTTGGCTTCTTTCTTGCACCGAGGGTCGTTGAACGTGAGGCCGACGCTCGTTTGGCGGCGGGGAGGGGCGAGGCCCTGAATGTTTCACTGATCCTTTTGAGTTGGTTTGGTGGTGGGTACCGAGTCTGAGTGTTTCTCTTTTGGGGCCCTTTGCAGTTGGTTCTGAGTCTGAGTTCTGAGTTGAAATTCAGTTCATTCCCAGAGCCAAACCTCGCCAAACAAACGTTCGTTAGAAAGAACGCGTGGGACGGAACATCCGACGTAAGTAACGTCCTCATAGGTGAAGCAAGGCGTCGTGGCACACCAACACAATCGATAGATGCCACCTCTGGCCCGAACCGGCGTCTCGCCCCAGGAGATTGGGAAGACTCGAGCACTTTCGTTGGAGTTCGGCAACTGAAGAGTGAGGCTCTGTCCAGCTTGAGGCCAGCCTTGTACATGTGAGGGTAAAGCACAGGTATCCAAAATCAGAATGGATGAGTTCTGCATCTGCTCAGAGTCAGTGGTCAAACCCGGCAAACCCACAACACTGCAGATTTGTCCACTAATGCATGTCCGCGAGTGGATAGAGCGAGCCACTGTCGCACCACCAGCAAGCACCACCTGACCGGGAGTGCAGTTTAAGCAACACATGTACAAATCAAAACACGTATAGTTTAATTATGTTTAATCCATAGCTTGGCCAAGCTGTACTCTGCCCAATGTCCATATGAATGAACATGCAAACTTCTGAAGCGACGTAACAAAAGGCAACACATGCTTTGTGGCTTAGTTCAGTGAGAGATTTTTTCTATTCCAAACAAAGACCTTCCATGACATTCTTCGATCTTGCTTGCCTGCGTGACATTGCTCGAGGGGTCTTCTGCACAACTCTCTTCCCACATCAGAACACCTGCGCTATAGGTTTGCACAAACTGGCACCCTGCTGTTAAGTTCTGTGGTGCTTGGATAGTGATCTGGCCGATGTCTACTTGAAACTCTTCTTGCCTCATGCAAGATGACCTGTTGGAATAGCTCCATGTGCCATTGAAACTTGGAGGCTCGAGGTGGGCGCACCAACACAAACGGTAGCTTCCCAAAGGCAAGCTTGGCTCCACCCAGGAACCTGAAAATGGCAGGGATATAGAAGCAGCTGCTTCCAGAAGATGGATGCCTCCACAGGTTTCAAGGATCATGAGGCTATCGCTTGAGTTGAAGCCAGTGATCAGGAGCCTGCAAGGCACACCGGCCACACAAGTGAAGTCTTGTGAGAGAGGTGTGGGACCTACCAAATGGAGCTGGCCAACATCGACCAGCCAGCTTGCGAGTGCCAACCTGGTGAGGTTGGACGCATTGCCTTCGACAAAGCCTTGGAAAAGGGAGGCGTCGAACTCCGATGTGTTGGATGAGTTGCTCATGAGGTGAAGCAGCTCTGAACTCGCTGGAGAATGAGGATATGGAGCCCAACAAAGGCGATATGTGCCGCCGGCCGCAGTTGCCGTGGCCCAATTCACAAAGGCTGTAAAGGTGGACACACCCAGAGACGCTTCGATGGACTCCATGAGGCCAGCATGGCTGAAGCGAGGCACCACTTGATCGATGCCGCAGGTGTCTTGGATCAGGAAGGAACCCGAGCTGGACAGATCGCCATAGCCGCTGATGGAGATCCGACAGCTGTGGCCACTGACGCAGGTCCGATGCTGCTCCAATGGTGAAGGGCCCATGATCTGGAAGGTCCCAGCGTTGAAACAGGCATCCCCTTCATTGATGGACACGTTGTACCCACTCATATTGAATCCCGGACACCAACAAAGTCGGTACTCCCCTCCAGCTGCAGAGATTTGGATCTCAGTACTGAAGTCTGCCATGGCACCAGCCTGTACTACTGAGATGAAGCTGGAACTCTTGGGCACAGCTGCGCTTCCACAGGTCTCCATCACTTGCAGCCTGTCTTGCTCTGAAAAGCCATGTCCTTTGAGTCCAAGGGAACATCGTTCACCTGAAAGACAGGTGAAGTGCTGCGTGATGGGTGCAGGGCCCAAGAGGAACAATGCACCAGCATCTGAGCGGAAGTCAATGGACCTTGAGCAGCTGCCAAGGGAGGAATTGGAAAGGTTGGACAGCGCATGCATCGCTTGCTCAGTCCCACTCACGCGTTCTGAGCACCAGCACAAGCGATATGTGCCGCCCGACAACAAGCTAGTGGCTCCGGTAAAGGATGTACCGAGGGTGCCATCGCTTGCAGTCATGACCCGCAGGTATGCTGCATCCTCCACAGATCCGCAGGTGTTCAAAATGGCCAGATGCTGATTGGCGCCCAAAGCTTCTCCTGTCAAACCATCCACTTGGCATGGTAGACCACTGATGCATGTGTATCGGTGCGTCGCCTTCGGACCAATGACCAACAGTTGCCCGAAGTCGGCTCGAAAGTCCTCAGGCTCTAAGCAAGAGAAGTGTCGCGAACACCAACAGAGTCGATAGTTGCCTCCTGAAACCATTTGATTCTCCTCCCAGCCAAAGGCCACCAGATTGCTTGCGGTTGCCTCGCCGTTGGTCTCATTGCGGGTGCTATTTCCATCTCCAACTTGAAGTCGGAGGGTGAAATCACTGAGCAAGCTTCCACAGGTCTCCAGCAATAAGATCTGATCTTCACTGGAGATGCCAGAACCCATAAGCACCTGCTGGCAAGCACGTCCACTCACACAGGTATGATGCTCTGAAAATGGACCTAAAAGATGAAGCTCACCTGCATTGGTGATGAAGTCGTCTGGAGATACACAGCCACTCAGCGCACTTGGCCGGCACCAACAAAGCTGATACAAGCCAGTACCAATGATTGGCAAGGGAAAAGTTGCAAGTGACTTTGCCACTTCCAAAGTACCAAAAATGTTGGAAAGGCTCTCCAAAGCACCAGAAGTTACTGCACCACATGTATTCAGAATCTGCAATTGGTCGCCGTCTGTGAGATCCTGGCCATAGAAGGAAAAGGCACAGTGCTGTCCGCTGATGCATGTGACTTCATTGAAGAAGGGACCAGCGATGGTGAGAGTGCCAAAGTCCAGCTGAAAATCCAAAGGCGACACACACAACTCCAGCTTGCTACACCAGCAAAGTTTATATTGACCTCCCTGTGTGCTGAACGGAATCGGCCAAGTCACTTTCGCTCCCGACAAAGAGATCTCTTCAAGTCCAGAAACTCGGTCCACGAGTGCGGTTCCACAGGTGTGCATGAGTAGGATGGAGTCACTCGCTCGCACCTCGAAGATGATCTCCCAATTGTTGTAGTCAGTCGGCAGCCCAGACGAAATCCAGCCTGAGATGTTTGACATTTTACGGATCTGGGGAATGTTCGGCGTTGCGTTTGGGGAATTGTTTGAGCGGTCGTCATTTCTCTCAGTCGTTCCTTCAGAAGTGGACAGCTAGCTGTTTGTCGAAGAAATCGATGTCCAGAGGCCATTTTTCATGTCGATGATTTCAAGGCACGGCCTCTGTGCACAAAACAACCCACTGGACCACTTACGGCAAAATCAGCTCCGGCGGCAGGCGAGCAAACATGAGACAAGTGCATCATAATCGAGAAGGGAGTAAAACATGAAGGAGTTCTGTTCATATGATGCACTTGGGTTGCTCCTCAGGGTGAAGCAAGACACAACAACCAGTAGAGCAGAAAGCAAACCAAGAAGAGTAGGAACAAAAAGGAAAGCCAAACAAGCAGGAATAACGCTAACTAATAAGAAGCAACGGCAACAACGTGCTCAGAAAGCAAAAGCAATCAAAACAGGGAAACGATACGCCATAAGAGGACAAGAAGCAGGAAAGTGAAGAAAAGCAGGAGAAGAGCCAGAAAGTGCAAGACAAGTGGGGAAAAAACAGGAAAGCAAGAAAAGCTGGACAAATCACAGGGAAGCAATGAAAAGCAAAGGAAAGGCAGGGAAAAGCAAAAACAATCACCAAAAGCAGGAACAACAGAAAAGCAGGAGCAACCACAGAGAAGCAATGGAAAGCAGAAAAGCAGTAGAAATCATAGAGAAGCAATGACAAGCCAGAAGAGCAACAAGAAGCAAATCCAACAAACAAATCCCTAAACGCAACACACAAAATTATCCGAAAATAATGGTCCTCCTGAGTCCTCCTTATTTTGGTGACATGTTGCTCACTGTTTCCCATGACAATGACACGGAGATTCAAACGAACAAAATACACATGACTTCATGACCTCATCTCGAACGGGTCAATTTGCAGGTCTTCTTGCCGCTTTGTGGCGTGAGTCATCCTCTAGCTTTCCATCCACCAGCTTCTCTGCAGAGTATGTGACGCCACTCAGCTCGAGTGCTTCCCCCGAAGCTCTCAACACACTTTGCCGTGTGGAGACCAACACGTCATCGCGCGTGAGGAATTGCACTTCACGCGGTCGAGGCTCCTGGTCGTAGGTCTGACGGATGAGCAAGCGCCAAAAGTGATCCGAGCTGGAGAAGCCAAAGAACTCTTGCCACTCGCGGGTGCCAGCAAGTGCAGCACCCTGCAAAGCCTTAGTCCACGGTCCATCAGAGGAGCCTCCATGATAAAGCTCAAAGAGGCGTATGTCATGCGTGCCACCTGGATCGCCATCCTGAGAGAGACGAAACTTGTAGATCTGAAAGTTGGATGCGAGACCTACTCCCGTGATGCTGTCTAGCACACATGCACGTCCACTCACGCAAGTGTGCATTTGTACCAATGGGCTCGGACCCACCACCCACAGTCGGCCAAGATCAGTGTGAAAATCACCATATTCCTGACAACTAGATCCGCACCAGCACAATCGATAGCTGCCACCGGCCTCCAACCAGGAAGCTCCCCGTGCCGATCGGTTTTCAACGAAGCTCCAGCGGGTCCCGCCGGCTCCAACGGACCGTGTCTCCGAGAGGTTCGACGCGTTGACGAGTTCGTCCGGACGAGTCCGTCGATCGAAGAGTCCAAAGCCATTGGGAGTGGAGCAGGTGTCCAAGACGGCGATGAGATCAGTGGCATCTGGAGACAGGAAGCCTTGAAAGCCATCAATCACACAGCTTTGACCGGCCATGCACGTTCGATCCTGTGCCAGAGGAGCTGGGCCAACAACCAGAAGGAATCCAAGATCTGTCAGGAATTGCTCTGGCATGATGCAAGACAGCTGCAGGCTGTCCATTGCACTTCCATTAGAAGCCGTTGCTGTGAGGTCAGAATCCTCCGTCTGACCTGCACACCAACAGAGTCGGTAAATGCCACCAGCTGCAGTGATCCTTCCGTTCGCCGCGGTCGCGACGGTGGCACTCCAGACTTGCCCGAAGCCCTGCAAAGGTGTGGAAAGTCCACAGGTCTCCAGAGCCATCACCGAGCCGCTTGCACCGCCCAGCGCCTCTTCAAAGATGCCCTCAGGGAAGCAGTGCTGCCCACTGAAACAGGTTCGTCCAAAGGTGCTCGGTGCCACGAAGTGTAGACTTCCAAAATCCACCTTGAAATCATCTGGTAGCGAACAAGTAAAGCCCGTCAAAGTGCCACACCAGCAAAGCCTGTACTCACCTCCAAGCCCTGTTACAACAGTCAGCGGCGCCCTGTTACTCACCCCCAAAGCAGTAGTGTTCGAGATGTTGTCCGCTGGAAACGCTGAGAGGAATGCGCCAGTCTCCGCCAAGGCCGACGGTGACCCACAGGTGTCAAGGAGCAAAATCCGATCTTGCTCTGATAGTGCTTCTCCCTCTGTATCATAGAAGTGACATGCGAGTCCACTGATACATGTCCTTGCTTGTGTCAACGGCGCTGGGCCTATCAACAGCAACTGTCCAATATCTACCGCAAAATCTTGCGGTTCCGTGCATGAGTTGCTGAATATCACAGGACACCAGCAAACTCGGTAGCTACCCCCTGCTGCCGTCAGCGCCATGGCCGTGAGGTCGGACATCACAACATCAGCGCCAGCCAGCCCAACTGTGCCACACGTATCAAGCACACGAAGCCAACCACTCAATGTGTCGCCAGCTGCGTGAGCTGCGACTGCTTGGAGTTGGCAGGTTCGACCGCTCACGCAGGTTTGTTGTTGTTGAAGCGGTTGTGGCCCCAAGATGGACATCGTTCCCGCATCCACTCGGAAGTCACTGGCCTTTCTGCACAGATTCCCACACCAGCACAAACGATAAGATCCACCGGCAGAAGTGATCATCCCCAAGCTGAAAATACCGCTTGCATTGCTTGCTGTGCTGCCTTCTGACATTACACCTGCAATGGTGGAGAATGTGCCACATGTTTCAAGCACGAGGAAGGCTGAGGAAACCAAACTTTCATCCGCACTACTTGGGAAAAGTTGAATTCCATCAACTTCGCAGCTTTGTCCACTAATGCAGCTCCTATGCTGCTGCAAGGATTCCGGGCCCACCATCGTGAGCTGCCCAGCATCTACACGGAAATGCTCTGCAGAGCTGCAATGGAAGCCCGCCGCGCACCAGCACAAACGGTAAGTTCCACCTGGAGCTGATGGCAAATTGGGAAACTGAAAGATCACACCGCTGCTCAAGATCGACGTGACCTGTCCAAGCACTGCCTCGGTCAAAGCGATGGGAAGTGGTTCTCCTTCAGCTGCGGGCTGAGTCAAACAGGTCTCCATGATCAACAGCTGATCACCTTCAGCCAAATGGTAATGGCCAGCACCGGTAAGCCCAGTGATGAGACACGTCTCTCCAGCAATACAGGTGCTTAGCTTGCCAAGTGGAGATGGCCCAACAATCTCCAAAGAGCCTATGCTGGCCACGTGCTCTTCCAAAAGACAGTCGAGGTTGCTTGATGTGTTCGCCAAGTTCACAGCACTCTTGGGACACCAGCAAAGCATGTAATGTCCACCAGGAACTGGGGCTGCCTCAAAATGAGCTAATTGAAACCTGTCCAGCTCCAATTCGACCACGTTTGGCATAGACACTTTGCTTTGCGCCACACCGCAGGTGTCCAGGACGGCCAAGCTGGCCTCAGCAAGACCATAGAACTGACCCCGAAGGCCATCAAAGACGCAGGTCTGTCCCGCCACACAGGTCCGAGCCTGTGGAAGTGGACTAGGACCGATGACCAGGAGCCTTCCAAAATCCGTGAAATCGGACACAGCACAGGATCGATCACTTCCGCACCAGCAGAGTCGATAACTTCCTCCGGTCCAGATGGTTTGCGGCACCACACGGGCAGATGAAAGGGCCGCTCCGCTGCCTGTTTCATTGGAAGCTGTTCCATTGTGACCTGTGTGATCTGCGATGAGTGTGGAAGTCAAGAAGGGAAGCCCTACACCACAGGTCTCCAAAACGAGGATTTCATCTCCCGAGGCCAACCAGTAGCCTTCCACATCGAAGGAGCATGACAAGCCCATGACGCAGGTCCGATCCTGAGGAACTGCGACTCCCAGAATCAACATAGATCCCACATCTGTGCGAAAGTCAGAACCCACTGAGCAAGCTGCATTGATGGGACTTTCACCTGTACTCGAGCTACCAGAGCACCAGCACAATCTGTATGAACCACCTCCATATGTGAGCCTTGCCAACTCTGTGCTGGATTGATTCGACAAGTTCCCAAAGTGCCAAATCAAGTGTCCCGTGTCCTCTCCACAGGTGTCCCACACAGCCAAAACGCTACCACCAGATGCTTCAACGCCAATGATGCTCTCAATGTGACAGAACTGTCCCATCACACATGTGCGATCCTGGTTCAATGGGTGAGGTCCGACCATGTGCATGGTACCAAAATCCATCCAAAAGGAACTCGAGACCTCGCAGGAGTCGAAGCACCAACAGAGTCTGTAACGACCTCCAGCTCCGGTGATGGGCACCGACCAGGTCAATGGCATTCGTTGATCCGATTGGTTGAGGGAAAGCATTTCTCCAGGCCAACGATTGATGCCTTCCCTTCCACAGGTCTCTTGGACAAGAATCTGGTTTTGGGAGGACAAATGAATGCCTGAAACTGAGATTTTGCAGCTATGTCCACTGTAGCAAGTTTTGCGCTCCAGCTGGGGTCCAATCATCAAAAGCGAACCCAATTCCACGACCCCAACACCTGCTGTAACGCATTCGGTGGATTGGTGAAGTGAGGCAGTGACTGGGCCAGGACACCAACACATTTTGTAGGTGCCCCCTTGTGCAGTGGTGGGAACACTACTGAAGAGCACGCTGGCGCTGGAGTTGGAGCTGATTGGAGGCACTCCAGAGCTGGGCAAGCCCGTAGCGGTGGATTGTTGGCAGCTGTCACGCAAGAACAAAGTGTCATCTGCCTGCAAATGGACCACAAAAAAAAGAAAAAAGGAAAAAGAAAGAAAGGTTCAAAGTTTTCAAAGAAAGAAAGGAAGGAGAAAGAAAGACAGAAAGAACAAGAGAAAGAAAGAAAGAAAGAAAGGAAGGAAGCCAAAAGAAAGGGTAGAAAGAATGTAATCTGCCTGCAAGTGTACTCCAAGAATATGATCCACAGCACATGTCCTTCCGGCCACACATGTGCGATGTTGCTCCAGGGAAGGCCCAATGAAAAGGAAAGCTCCCGCATCGACCTTGAAATCCTCCGCCACGGAGCAACGCGAGCCGTAGGCTCCGCCACCCGCACACCAACAAAGTCGATACTCGCCTCCAGTGGCTGGACCTGATCGGGTTTCCCATTTCTGAAGGTGTTATTTTTCCTGGAGCACTAAGGGCGTACTTAAATTTCTTTGATAAGCATTTTGGTGTCAACCATGTTTTCTTCACGCTGGCCATGCTCCCTTGAAAAGTGAGTTCTGATTTAAGAAAGTGCATGCCTATGGAATCTAACGCAATTCTGTAAACCAAATCCTGAAACACGAATGCATTCAGTTTTGTTTCTTGACGCTCAGTAAGGGCCCTTAAGTCCCTGACCATCGCCGTGCACGGTAGAAATGGGTGTATTTTAATAGAGAAGAAACCCCTAACCAAGAGGTCGACTGGTTCCCAAAAATTCCATCCGGGTCGAATTGGGAGGTCTCCCTAATTGAGCTACACACCCAAATCGGGTCGACTACTTATCCAATCCCAAAATCCCTTGATGTCCACCGGAACGGAGGGCCGTTCGACCCTTCCGTCTGGCTGGTCCGTCCGAGAGTTCGGCGCCCGGTGGTAACGTGGCCAGGTGGCTCGTCTCGCTCTCGCTACGAACGGAGCAATGTTCGCTACTAGGAACAAAGGGCATCGCTACGAAGGGAGCGATCGGACGCTACTAGGAACAAGAAGTTATAGGCTATTATGTTCACTAAATAAATGCTTCAACAGGTGGCTCGTCTCGCTCTGGCTCCAATAGATCTTTCCAAGCAAACTTTCGTTGGAAGAGTCCAGTGCATGACCACCATAGCCTGATGAGATGGACGGATCATCGAGATGGACGGTTTTGTTTGGGATCCAAGAGTAGGGGGTGACCAATGAGGGGGTTGGACCACGTTCTCCGTAGCACTTCGTATCCACTGGTACCACTTCTGGATCCAAAAAACACAAATAAATACTTTTATAAACAGATATAATATATATATATATATTTACGAAGAAGAAGAAGAAGAACAAGAAGAAGAACAAAACAAAACAAAGCAAGTTCCCAGCCTGGCGCATTCCCGACGGCAGCCAAGCTGGTTCCACAGGTGTCCAACACCAAATAGCGGTCGTTGATGGAGATGTGCCCAGTGAGACCTGCTGTAACGCAGCTCTGTCCTGCTACACAAGTGCGGTCTTGTTGCAGTGGAGATGGTCCAAGAATGTAAAAGTCTCCAATCTCCAAGAAGTCACTGGGCAAGTCGCAGGTGACATTCTCTTCAGCTGAACACCAACAAAGCCTGTAAAGACCCCCAGCAGATGTGATCGGTGAGTTCCATTGAGCTGCGCCTTTGAAGACCTTCACCGAAGAGGACAAACGTGCAATGGCTGCCTCCGACCCACAGGTGTCCAGAACCAAAAAGCTGTCCTCGTTGGAAAGGTGTCCTTGTCCTATGATTCCATTGAAAGAGCACACTTCACCACTGATGCAGGTCCGATGTTGGTAAAGAGGCGCTGGACCAGAGATGGACAACTCTCCTGCATCCACCCGACAATCACTGGGAGTCGTTGTTTGGTTGGAACCGGAAGACCAGGAGGTCCGTCCACACCAGCAGAGCCGATACTGACCACCCGAGATCGAGGTGAGAACCGGGCTTTGCCATCGAACTGTGGACTGTGTACCAGACACATCCGAAACAACTCCATCCAAGTAGTTCCTGGTGGGTTGTGCACCACAGGTGTCGAGCACCAGTAGCCGATCTCCTTCCAAAAAGCCGAGGGAATCCAAGCCGCTCAATCTACAAGCACGGCCAAGAAGACAGGTAAACCTCTGTTCAATCAAACCTGCAACCGGGCCCACCACATCTAGCCGACCGATGTCAAGTTGGAACTCTTCAGGAACCACACAGCCCGAGTGTGGGGGCGTGTGTGTCAGATTGCCAGCAGAGTAGTTTTGAAGATTGGCACACCAACAAAGCCTGAAGCTTCCTCCAGATGGTGCAGCCACTTCCCAGCTGAACGTGCTTCCAGATGCGCTGGCTTCTCCAAGAGTTGATCCCTGGGGTTGACCAGGTCTTCCGAGATTCAAGTTGAAAGCAGAGGCCTGTGAAAACCCACAGGTCTCAAGCAGCAGCAAGGCTCCTTGATCCAAGCCAGTACCCAGGAACCCCTCCAATTGGCATCTTTCTCCTGCGATGCAGGTCCGATCTTGCTGCAATGGCGCAGGGCCAAGAACCATAAGACCTCCCATGTCGAGATTGAATTCATGGAAGTGGGTGCAGGAAGAATTTCTGGAGCTCAAATTGAGGCTTTGGACATCTTCAAAGTCACCACACCAACATAGACGGTATTGCCCCCCGGGAGAATAGGACATCTGTTGGCTTAAGTCAACAACAGCACCACTCATCTCTGAGGGTGATGTCAAGCTTTGCGGAAGAGGAATCAATGCAGGCAATCCACAGGTCTCCAAGATCAAAAGCTTGTCATGACCTCCAGTGACACTAAGACCATCTAGAATGCACCGCCGTCCACTGACACATGTTCTGTGCTGGGACAAAGGTACTGGCCCCAGGATCTGAAGTGTGCCCAAGTCCACACGGAATTCTGGAGTGGTGCATGCAAAACCACGACACCAGCAAAGTCGATAGACACCACCAGCCACACCCACAGCTGGTGTTCCGGACATGTTGAAACCACCAACACCTGTGGGATAGCCCAAAAAGCCCGAGTCTGAGCACGTCTCAAGTACAAGCACGGTCTCCTCACCCTCTATGAGCTGATTGCTTAAAGAGAAAGCAGAATACCCTGATACGAGCTGCAACGTGATGAGGCATTCTTGGGCAGTGATACAAGTTTGGGTTTGCATTTCTCCCTTCGGGCCGATCACCGTGAGCTCTCCAAAATCCATCTGAAAATCCAACGCGCCACTGCATCGAGTGCTACTCGCACCAGTCTCAAGGCCTCCACACCAGCACAATCTGTACTTTCCCCCTTGACCGCGACCGAAGTCCACGCTGCCTGCACGGCGAGCCTTACTCGTCGGGTGTCTGACAGCCAGTCTTGGTTGGGTAAGAAAACCTGAAAATGACCCTACAGAAGCTGATCCGGTGTTTTCCCCCAACCAAAAACGTTTAAAGTGCATCTGAGCTTCAGTCACTTCATGAGAGTCGTTCTGGGAGAAGTCCATAGCGTCGTTCGTTTGGTTCCAGAGTTGCAAACGGCTGGGGCCAAGGCCATCTGAAGCTTCTCCGCAGGTGTCCAAGGCCATCACAAAGTCACCCTCTGTGACATAGCCGGCCACGTCAATAGCACAGGGTTGCCCCGCAACACAGGTCGCATGTTGTTCCAAGGGTGACATGCCATGAAGGAGCAATCGACCAACATCTAGTCTGAAATCCCAAGCAACTGTGCAAAGTGGAAGACTCTCATTGCGAGTTTCATGAGAAGTGTTGGACGTATTCAATTCAAAGTCAACTCTTACCCCGGAGCACCAGCACAAACGATACTCGCCACCAGATACGGTCATCAATGTGATTTCATTCCAAGCGACAGCTTGAGACTTTGTACTGCTTGAGATTCCCTTGTCTGGCAGGCCACAGGTGTCCAAGACCAGAAAGCGATCATCTGCGCTAAAACCAAGGCCACCAATGTCAAAGGAGCAAGTCTTGCCACTGATGCAGGTCCGGTCCTCCTGGAAGGGACCCAGAATGGTCATGGTGCCGATATCCATTTGGGCGATGCAACCCGATTCACTAAGGCCGCTGCACCAGCAAAGTCTGTAGATCCCGCCGTGAGTCGTGACGGCGGTCGATCCAAAGTCAAGCGATTGCTCGAGACGACCGGGGCTTGTTGCATTGGATGAGAGGCTAGAGTGCCCACTGAAGCCCTCGGATGGAAAGTGCTTTGGGATTGCGTTGGAGCCACAGGTGTCCAGAATTCGAATCTGATCCTTCCAATGTGATCCAGTGCTCCAAATGCCCTGGGTACGGCAGGATCGGCCGGAAATGCACGTCCGATCCTGGTTCTGTTGTGGGCCCAACACCAAGAGCGAACCAGCATCCACCAAATGATGCTCCGCCAAATCACAGAAACTTCTGTTGGTGTTGATGTTCTCGTTCTCGTAACACCAACATAGTCGATAAAGGCCACCCGAAATGGTGAGTTGGAAAGAGACCTCACCGGACCAAGGTGCTTGCTGATGATGCACGACTGGAGCGGTCATTCCGCTCATTCCGCAGGTGTCCAGCAACATGATGCTGTGGCCCTCGCCGAAGCCATCGAAGCTGCAGCTCAAGCCGCTGATACATGTTTTTTCCAGACTTGAAGGACCAACGAGGTGAAAGGCTCCCATATCAACATACTCTTCCATGGTGCATCTCTGAAAATCCGAATGATACGAGATGTTGGTGTGATTCAAACTCCTTCCTTGACACCAGCACAAGCGATATTGACCACCAAGTGCACTGATTGGAACAGGCCAGGAGGAGTTTTCTGCCGTGAAGTCTGGGAATCCTGGTACCAAGGCAGACTGGACCCCACAAGTCTCGAGCACCAGCAAGTGACCAACATCACCCAGGTCACTGAAGTCTTGCAAACTGCAATGTCGACCACTGACACATGTCGCGAAGTCTTGCCAGGAGGGTCCCTGTACGAAAAGACTGCCGATATCAAGCCGAAAGCCGTCCGCGGTGGAGCATGAGCCCTTGACAGAGTCATTCGCCAGTTGACTCAATGAGCCACACCAACACAAGCGATACAGACCTCCGGCTGGCGAGATTGGAACATCTCCCCAGGTGATCGTCAGCCCTGAGACCCTTGCATCGCCCTCACTGGAGTTTTCACGCGTCCCATTGATGGTGCGAGTCCCATTGATTTCAGCGGCAAAGGTCCACGCTAGGCCGGCATTGGGAAATCCAAAGGTGGAATGCCCCGTGACGTTCGGGTCCAGTCTTGGACCGCAGGTATCCAGTGCCATGACTTGCCAAGTCTCTCCTGGTGCAAAGCCACTTAGGCTCGTCAACGTGCAAGTCTGTCCTGCAACGCAGGTGTGGCTTTGTGTCAAAGGATCGGGACCAATCAGGTACAGGCTTCCAGCATCAAAGTTGAAGTCTCGTCCGTCCACTGAGGCATTGAAGTGTGGTGCTCCAAACCAGCAAAGCCGGTACTCGCCCGGGGCCCAGGTCACATCAGAAGCGAAGGCTGCGATGCCCGCTTGGTTGGCCTGTGGCGCTATGGACTTGGTGTAGAAATTCCAAGGCGTCTTTCCAGGACCCAGAAGAACACCGCAGGTGTCCAAGACCATCAACTCGTAGTGCATTTCGGGGTAAAACACTCGCAAGCTGTCGATATGACATGCGTGACCGCTGACACACGTGAAAGCTTGGTGCTTCAGCGGGCCAACGAGACTGAAGCTTCCAACATCGATGTGGAACCTGACAGGACACTTTTTTCCGTGGAACACTGCGGCTGTTGAACACATCATGTGTTTGTTAAATAATCGCATGATGAATCACAATGGACCATGAACAAGAATCAACAAAACACATGGAACACATCAAAAAGAACTTGGCAAAGAAAAAAACGAAGAAGACTTGGCACGGATCGGCAAATCGTTTTGTGTGTGTTCAGGTTGAATTGAACTGTTGTCACGCCCAGCGACTCATGAGCGCTCGTGCACGGGCCAAAGGTGGAAGCATTTGGGTTCGTGCCGTTGCTATCATTGGCCGAGCCTGTCAAAAATTGAACCTGTTCGTTTACATGTAACGTATGCAAAAAAGAACACTCAAAGAGCTCTCACCCGAAAAAGAGGTCAGCTTCGATGGCTATTGCAACATTCTGTGAAGCTTTCCACTTTTTCAGAACGAGTAGCTTGCAGGTCCTGTCTGCGACGATGGCAAACACCAGCACAAACGATATTGCCTTGGATGTCAGAGAAGGGAAGGGAGGCTTGACAATCTGTTGGAGTTGCATTCTTTCAGCAATAATTAATGCGCAAAAAACACAAAGATCAAAAGAGAAAGAATCAGCAAGAAAGAAAACAACAACAACAACAAAAGTTAACAGTTCTCCTGATTGATGCAGTCCAGGATTCCCTCCAGAAGCTGTGACCACACGGCCGCTGGAACCTGAGCACTGAAAGGTAGGGAAGTCAGTTGCAAACAGCTGCCTCATTGGTCTTCGCACTTTTGAGAAGTAGGGTATTCAGGCCATCGCTCTTAGGTTCGCTATTGCGGAGGCCATCGCAGGTTTTTTCGCGAATCCGTTGGGCGAAGCGTGGAGAATCGGACGGAGATGGGCCTAACTCCAATCGGTTGCAGGTCCGTGGGCGAAGAAGTGACTGCACGTATGAGAACCAGGGGGCAGGACGACTTTTGGTGGCACGGGCCACACCGCAACCACTATCGATGCGGACCAGGCAACTCCATGCCACTGATGACCCGAAAACCCTCATTTTTTCCACCTAGTAGCTTCTTGTTACTAGTAGTAAGAATGCTCCTAGTAGCGATGCCAGGAGCCCCTAGTAGCGAACCTTGCTCCTAGTAAGGCCAGGAGCCCGTCCTTGTTCCTAGTAGCGATGCCCTTTGTTCCTAGTAGCGTCCTTGTTCCTAGCTGCAACCAAAGAAACTCACCCTGCTCCCAGCCGGTGCAAAAATCACACCGGAAGCATTGAGTACCTGCGACGCAGTTTGGAGAGCAATCCATGAACCGTCTTCTGGAATCAGCTTGGTCTTCAGACTTGTAAGGAATCCTCAAGACGCTCAAGACGTGCTGCGGCACATGGCACGAACCTCAAACTTTCGGTGTCTGAAGTATAGCGAAACGAGACCGAAGTGTGCACCTCTTCTTCAAGACCTATTGCTTCAATTGCCAGTGTGTCTCCGCCTCGCCAAGAACACGAAGACGTCAAGACAACCGAGTTGAGCAGCTGAGCTTCAGGCATGTGTGCATCACCAAGTACTCTCCGTCACTGGGCAACAAGTGGCCTTCAAACAGAACAATTCCCAGAACAAACAAACCTTTAGCCTTTATCCAAACAAACTCTTGATAAGAAGATACCAACGAGTGTAGGCACCTGCAATGCTTTCCACTTCGCACTCCTGTCCCGCCGTGCAGGTTCTGTCTTGCTGTAGTGGAGCAGGACCAATGAGTTCAAGCTGCCCGACTCCTCCAGCTGTGCAAAAATGAACTGCTCATCCACGTCTGTTCGGAGCAGAATCCGCTCATCTCATCTTGGGTCGGTAGTGACTGTAGAGCTATCTAGACCAATGAGGATTCATTGATAGTCCTTCCACTTTTCATAGTCTAGCGGACGGCAAAAAAGGAACAAGAGGAATAAGAACCGTTTGAAGAGGCGGTGAAGACGGCAGGAAGGAAGCGCTCTTGCAATTTCAGTGCATATGTCTCAGAAAAGAACAGCATTCAAAGCGCCATAAGCTCGCGACTCATGAACTCATCAGCGGTCACACAGTCGAAACCTGTTGGAAGGTGTTAAACATTGCACAATACTTGCCTGAGGTCTGGCGCCTTTCTGTTTCGTTTCATTTACACACCACTTGCTGTCGAACGCTTTCTTAAGGGCTTTTGGGCATCTTGTTCAAAGGTTTCGATACGTGCTTCTGATATTCTGCATGGAGGACTGCCTGGAGCACACCAGCACAGCCAGTAGATGCCTACCAGGGAGAGCAAATTTGGAACAGTCACTTAGACTTAGTCGTGCTAGTAGCTTCAATCGTTTCGTTCGTAGTAAGAATGCTCCGTTCGAGTCGCGATGCGTTCGTTCGCCCCATTCTGGTCCCACCTCCACTGGCTGTGGTGTCAAAGGTCCAGGCAAATGCACTGCCACTGGCCAAAACGTCAAAGGACTCCGTTCGAGCAATGTAAACACCTGCAGCCAGCGTGAAGCGAACGAAGGTGAAGCGAACAGAACAAACACATCGAACACATCGACTGAAATGGCACTGGCTAAGCAGATCTAACCTCCAAAAGGACCCAAGACGAAGCCTGGAGAAAAGAAGGAAAAGAAGAACCTGTTTCGAAAAGAGACCAAAGCGTGGAACAAGAAGCTACTAGAAACAAAGGGCATCGCTACGAACGGAGCAAGAAGCTAGGTGGAGGCCATCGCTACTAGTAACAAGTGCCTTACTAGTAGTAACAAGGACGCTACTAGTAACAAGAAGCTACGTGTCTCCAAGAACTTCTACGTGTCTCCAAGAGACTTATGAGCCGTGGACGAAGAAGCGAAGCCGACGGAAGCCGGCTGCACCTGCATCGGAGAGTTCCACACCACAGGTGTCATACACGGCCATCTGTGAACCGGACAAATCTCCGTAGCTGGCGAAGCCATCAATGCTGCAGGGTCTGCCACTGATGCAAGTCCTCCTTTCTTGAAGTGATGACAATCCCAGCAAGCTCAGCTCGCCAGAGTCAACCAGGAAATTCTCCGAAGAGGTGCATCTGAAGCCACCTCCACACCAGCAAAGTCGATACTTTCCGCCAGGTGCTGTGATGGGGCCGAAGTGAAATTGCATCATCGGCCCATGTGGTGGACTGATGGGCAACTCTTCCAAAGCCTCCATACTGATTCCATCGTTCCAAAAGCCTGTCAGCACAATTGATGTTGTGCTACTCTGATTGCTCTGCGTTGACAGATTCTGGTTGCTCTGTGGTGTAAAACAAGTGTCCAAGATCATCACCTTGTCTGCCGTCGACAATTGCAAGCCCCTCACCTGTCCAATCACACAGCTTTGCCCTGCGACACAGGTGTTAGAATGTTCTCGCGAGGGGCCGATCAGTGTGAATTGACCCATGTCCACTGAGAAGTGCTGAGGCAAAAAGCAGGTGCTGTTTTGAGCACACCAGCAAAGGCGAAAGGTACCACCACCTGCTGTGAGCACGAGACCTTCTGCATGGAAGTCGTGAGCCAGTTGGCCCTGCATGTTCTCCAGCTGACTCAAAATGCTGGGTATGCCCATGTGATTGGAGGGGACGCCACAGGTGTCCAGCACCACCACAAGGCCAGTTCCATCCATTCCCATTCCGCCCCAAGGGAGGCTGCATGCTTGTCCGCTCACACAGGTGCTCTCCACCAAAAGGCTCTCCGGACCCCGCACGAAGACACTTCCGAAGTCCACGCGGAAGGCACTGGCATCGACGCAGCGCTGAGCTGCAGAGGTACCGGAGCACCAACAGAGCCTGTACAGTCCAAGTGGAGCCAGGAGGGGAGTAGAGTCCCATTCAAAGGACCATGTGTTGCCACCAGACTCAGCGGATGCTTCTTTGACCTCTGAAGCATACAACCATGTTGGCCATGTTGCAATGCCACAGGTCTCCAAGACTGCGATGCTGTCGGTGAGCTGCAAATATCCACGAAGCCCAGCAAGAAGACATGTCTGACCACTTGTGCAGGTGAAATGCTGGTCAGGTGATGGTCCCATCAGTAGAATGGACCCAGCATCCATTACAAAGTCCTCCTTGCGCGCGCAGTCGGACACGTTGGAAAGAGAACTGGGAGAACACCAGCACAAGCGATAAAGACCACCAGGTGTTGTAAAGTCTGCAGCCCATTTGTCGCCATCGTAGACCATTGGGGAGCTTGTGGTATGTGGAACTTCTCCACAAGTCTCAAGCGTTTGCAAAATGCCTAGCTCCGAAATGCCTTCACCCATCAAATACTTCACAGCACATGTCTCACCGGATATGCATGTGAACTGCTGCTGTTGCCAAGGACCTTCGACCACCAGTGTTCCTGCTTGGACGCGAAAGTCACTGGGATCTTCGCACCTCGCCCCAGCAGCTGCCCCGGCGCACCAACACAACTGATAGCTGCCTCCTGGCAGCGTGAGAGGACGTCGTTTCAGATCGAACAGGTCTCCGGAAATGGGGATCCCCACACGACAAAGGTTGTCTCCGCTATCTCCCATGGACTGCACTGAGACATGCACTGCTGCAGCAGCTTGTCTGCGCGTGTGATCCCCACAGCTCTGCGTGAGCAGCAACCGGTCATCGCCTGAGATGCCCTTCATATCGAAGTTGCAGTACTGCCCGCTGATGCAGGTGAAGCTCTGGGTTCTTTCAGGGCCAAGAACCATCAAGGAACCCAAATCAACGCTGAAACCGGATGGTAACTTGCAAAGACCGACGTCACTGGCACACCAACAAAGTCTGTACAAGCCGCCTTGAAGCAAAAGCAAGGGCCAACTTACTAAACCCACAGAACCAAAGAAGTCCGTGACTGCTGCACCGGGAGAAGCCTCCGGCAGACCTTGTATGGTGCCGCAAGTCTCCATGATCATCATCTGACCTGCAGTGTTCATGCTT